ATTTTGTAACTTCAACGCTTTTGTGAATAGGTTATGGGAAAATGCACAAGCACGACTATTTCCTGCTTTATAATATATATATATAAGTTTGTTTGTGCACTGTTTCCCTACCAAATATTTTTCTCTCCCTCCCTCTTAGTGTATTTTGTTCTAGAGAATTGATTCAAGCTTAACATTGGAGTGAGTTTCTTTGAGGCAAAGTACAATGGGGTGTCAGCCACTAGAAAAGGCAAAACCAAAACATAGGAAGGGGTTATGGTCACCTGAAGAAGACAATAAGCTCAGAAACCACATCCTTAAACATGGTCATGGTTGCTGGAGTTCTGTCCCCATTAAGGCAGGTTAGTTTCCTTCTTCTTCCCTGTTTGTCAAACATACGACACTGACATATTCCTGATAGATACTTGGAAAAGGGGCATTATTCCTTACTCTATAGTACTGTCATGTTATTAAATTGAGACATCCTTGGTTTTCTTGAAAAAAATGTTCCTCTTCTTTGGTTTGAAAAATATGCCTACAGGTTGTTTGTACCCAGTTAAGCTGTCAAATGGAAATGTGGGTATTTCCTTGATTGTAACACCAATAAATTTGAGATGTTTTAGCTAAGTTTTTCTTTACCCTTGATTTGAGTTAATTATAATGAATTTTCCGATCAATTCTGGGTAAGAAAAGGTGATGTATTGATAAGGAAAATAATACTTTTAAGCAGAGGTGTTTGAGGCACAATCAGAAAATGATTAAATACGAACAGATAATATAAAAATCTTTTAAGTAAAATATTAGTTTAAAGTTATGTATAAAATTTTGGTTCGATTTAGATGTGATTCGTTTTTTAAATCTGAACTCGAAAATCAATCGAACTCCATCGTTTTTTTTTTTTCATTTTTATTCAGTTTCATTTTTTTAGTCTTAATTATATTGATTTAGTTGTGATCATACCTTGCATAATTTTAAAATTTTTCTGTTCTAAATTTTCATTTGATCCATAAAATTGAGCGCAAAATTGAAATTGGACCTTTAAATTTTAATTTTGAAATTTTTAATTTTTTTAGAATTGAAATATAAAATTTTAAGGCCCAATTTTATATAATTATAATACAACTTAAAATTTTTTTTAATTTTTAATTCATGTCTCTTAGTCATAATTTGTTACCTTATTTTTATTCTGTAAAATTATTGTTTCATGCTTCTATTATCAATATCATTTTTAGTGCTATAATTATTACTATCATCATTATTCTAACTAAATTAGTATTTTTATTATTATTATTATTATTATAGTTAATACTGTGTCAATATTAGTATTATTGTTATTGTTTATACAAATCAAAAAATTTTGCTCAAAGTTAATGTAACTTGATCCATAACTAATCTTAATTAGAGGCATTTAACTAAAAAAATAAAAATAAAAATAAAATTATGATTTTATATATTTTTACAAAACCCAAACATAGAAAATATGATTTTAAACTAATTCCCATTCTAATAAAATTTAAATAGAATTATAGTTAGACCCTAAATAGTCCATGTGATGAAGTCAACTTAAGAGTTTGGACAAGATTTGTGAGGATAAGTCTACCCTAGTATATGTACTTTTATTCATATAAAATTGTTTAAATCTTTTTTAGTTGCAACACTTACTTTTTTGAAATTTTAGATTAAATTAATATTTATTTTATTTTGTATTACTTATTCATTTAAAATACATTTTTACTTTTTTTTATTGATCTAATCATTTCTATTTGATCAATATTAGGCATAATGGGATAATATTAAATCAGAAATAAAATAATTTTTATCAATAAAATAATTTTTTAATACTTTTAAAAATTAAAAGTTATAAATGCTTATATTTTTATATTATTTTATTATTCTATTAATTAAACTATTTTTATCTAAATTATTTTTAACTTATTTTCATCACATATGTTTGAAAATACACATGAAATGCAGGACTTGCTAGTTATTAAATTTTCATAATCTTCCTTGCTAAAGATAAATAAAATATTTTGACAATTCTGGCTTCCTTAATTTTAACACCTTATGGCAAACTACTCTGCTAGTAATAATCAAAATGTTAAAAGTCAAACCTATAGCAATTTGTATTTCATTTTTCTTTTTTTAATGTTTACCTGATACCTATGGGCAATTGCATTTATGTACAGGCTTACAAAGGAATGGAAAGAGTTGCAGACTAAGGTGGATTAACTATTTAAGGCCAGGATTAAAGAGAGGGAAGTTCAGCAAACAGGAAGAGGAAACAATCCTGACCCTTCACCACATGTTAGGCAACAAGTAAGCGAGAAGATAAATCTTCTTTCACTTTATCAATTTTTAATATTTTCAATTTTATGAGCAAGTTGATGTGAAATAAGTAAATTTTGTAATTTTCTGTCTAAAATATTGATCCACACTTGTCAGGAGTAGGTGTTAATAAATATCTCTTACTTAAATAAAAAAAACATGGCCTCCATTTTGATATTGGAGTCTTAAGTTAAAGAATGTAATTGGATTAAGAGTAGTTTCTTATTCAATTCTATTTCATAGAAGCAACTGGGTCCTTTGTAAACAAAAAATAAAAGGAAGAAATGATAGGTTAGTCAAACCTTGAATTGGCTTGGATGGCATGCTCCTTTTTTTAAAGAGGGATGAGCATTGAAAACAAAAAAGTCTATTCTACTATTCTTCAGTTCTGTATATTTGATTTAAATCTTGCTCAACGTTATTTGTCCATTTTATAGCGTCCCTTCATATATTCCAATAAGTTATCATCTATCATTTTACTATGAAAACAAATTATTCACATAAAGAATGTGCATGTGCTTTTGGGAGCTTGGTAACATTAATTCACAGCTGCCATCCCGAAACTTAGAACACAAAGTCAACACTACTTTCCGATTAATAAAGAAAGGAGGAATAAAATAAGATGAAATTAAATAGTATTTTTCAAAATATACATGTCACTGTGGAGGATGATTTGTAGGCTGAAATAATATACATTTTTCATAAAATAATGCTGGGTAAATTCTTAACTATAATTTCTTCCCCTTTCAATGAAGACTGATAAGATCAACTTGAATACTATTGGCTAGGTGGTCACAGATATCACAGCATTTGCCAGGAAGGACAGACAATGAGATTAAAAACTACTGGCATTCATATTTGAAAAAGAGAGTAGCCAAAGCTAAGGAAATGGAATCTCATAACCAAATTCAGTATGCTAGCTCAAGCTCAGACACCAAGGACTCTTCACCCTCTCTCCAAAAACTTGCAACTCAAGGCCCACAGAACTATAACTTCACCAAAGAGGCCCATCAAAGCTCCTTACCCAAATTGTTATTTGCTGAGTGGCTTTCTCTGGATCATGTACATGATGTGAACACTGCAAATTCAGTTGACTCTATGGTCTTGAGGAATGGATTTGATCAAAATTCAACTTTTCAAGATGCTACAATGCATGATATGTCAGAGGGACCCTTCGGTGAAGAGTATCATAAATGTCTAGCTAACATTTCAACCCCTGAAATGTTCAATTCACAGCTGAAGTTTGCAACTCAAATGGTGGAAAATGGCTTCATCCATTGTATACCTGGGGTTGACTTAAGTAGCAATTTCAGCATGAGCAATGATGCAATAATGTATGTATGAGAGAGAAGTTCCTGAGGCTTGTCAGCAAGGAATAATATTTTCTAATTATACAAACTGAAAAAATCAAACTTCAGCAATATAAAATAATACTTCAATTAAAAGTTGTATGTACTATACTCCTACCCAATTCAAATGAGTTCAATAGAATGCCAGACACGCGTAATTAGTTGTTATTTTCCAGACAGAGTTGTCTTTGCATACATGTGTGTAATTTCGTTTCAGATTAGGAAGTCAACTTCTAGTGGTCTTCAATGTTTTTGCTGTAAATGTTAGACTTTTATGGGATTGATTTAAGTGCTAAATGAAATAATGTGTTGAGATTTGGTCGTGACTCGTGACACCTTTAATACCTCAATAAGGTAGCCAACTAAAAATAAGCACTAACTTTTTAATGATGGTTTGATTCGAAGAGGATCAATTCAGGTGTTTGAGGTCTGCTGCAAATCTGAAGCTCCACATGAGTACATGCCCGATTTTGCAATCTAAACGCAAATTTATTATTCGCTTGTTGTTGAACAATGAATAATACTTCTATAATTAACATGGGCATGTATGTGATTATGATTGTGAAATATCACGCTACCAACATAGACATAGCTGCTATACCAGATGATTGTCAAATGAAAAGGTTTCATACGTTAACTATGATGTTAACATCTAGCCAATCAACGGCAACCAGATTTTACTTTGGTGTAAGAGGCCATAAGAATGAGAGTTAAAGATAAAACTACAATGATCTTTTCATTTTTTACTAAAGTAATGCACCATATCAGTCCTCCTCAAGTTATAATTAGTCCCTCAAATTACTAAATATCAGTTATTTTAGTCCTTTTTTTTGGGTACTTTTTATCACAAAAATAATCACGATTTGACAAATCTATTAACTAAATTGATCGGTGTTTGTAATTTCATAGATTAATTTGTACATTACTCCTTATTACTATGTCAGATTAAGACTCATGGCTATGCCTTAGAAATCAGGGTATGAATGCTTTAAAAGTTTCCCTTAGAAAAGATTCTTGCTCAATTGACTCTGAATAAACTGAAGGTATTTCAGATTCCGATATTATATCAGCATGGGTAGCACAAGGTGTCTTTTAGCGCATTTAAGGGTTAAAGGACGAAAATTTTCAAACCATTGGTTCTGTCATCTACTACCCAGATTCTCATTTCTATTAGTAAACCAAATACATTTATACATCCGCATGCTTCAATAAATAGTTTATGAACACATTGATACATCTCCATACTTCATAAATAATTCATTTAAAACCAAAGATATCACTTTCAAGCTGGAGAGTAGAAACTCCGTGACAAATCAGAATTTTTCTGGTTCAAATTGTATCTCTATTTCTCTGTTTTTCCTGGATTGTGCTGGGAAGGCATGGCAGTGGGCCACTACATATCTTTATTTTTTCTCCAACATCAAAGTTGTGTCATATTTAATATTAGTGGGCCATGCATATCTTTAAGTCCTTCCACTTTTGCAGTTTTATGATATTAAACCATCATTTTTAGTCTTGGTCTGAGGAATGTCACCAACTTGAAATAATAAAGCTGTCTGTGAGGAATAAGCTAGCCCATAGAAGAGCCATTGATGTTATGACAATGATCATAATAGGGGTCCATTTCAACGCAATCACCTGTGTTCCAAAGAATAAAATGCACATTAACATACTTTTCTTCAAAAGTTTAGCCAACTTAGCCACACCATCATGTAATTTTCAATATATTTTAGTTAATGATAGAAAGTATGTTACAAAGGATGTTTTAGAGGGTTCTGTTGCTAATACTACCTTTTCTAATTGAAGAATGTTAATAACAAATTTTCGAATACTCCTTTTATTATTGACTAATATTTATTAAAAACTAAAAAAAAATATAAGAAAAAAATATTAATTTAAGAGTGAAAAAGAATGAAACTAGCATAATTTTTAATAAATTTTTGCTAACAGTGGAAGATGTGTTACAAAACATTCCCCTTTCTAATTTTCCACGAACTACCATACCTCAAGACATGGAGAACACCATATGGAGGATGCAGGTTGAGGTGTAACTGGTAACCTTCTCTTTGTTTCTGTCATTATAAGATATTGCCATGTGACCAAAAAATTGCATCGCTTTTTTTTCTTTTACTTTGTTCATGCTTCTTAGTGTAAAAAACGATAGGGGGAAACTCACCTGAATTTCTCCTCCTTTCTAAAATGTTGGACATGTCTTCGGTAACAACATCTAATTCTTGTTTCCGGTTAGCATTGAGCTTTGATAGGTTGGACTGGGTTCTTGTATCAATATATTGTCTGCTAATATTTGCAATTACACCATCTGACAAAGAAATTGTGATTTTTTTGGCACGTAAATGTGGCGAAAACAAATATTTCACAAAGTATATGTTGGGTTTCCTTAGTTACCGAACAGTAACACCAAGTGCTACACAATGATATCATTGTAACACACAAATGGTTCAAGGGAATTACCAAATTTGACAAAGCTGTAAGGCCTTGTGATTTTGCCTATGAGGGTTTTATCAAACCTCTCAAACTCCTTTTGTATATCTTGTAGGTAATGGAAAGCCAATTTTCTTGGGTACGTGGACTCACACAAGACAATGAAAACAACCCCATTCTCGACCAAGTAGCTTAATACCAAAAGAGTATAATCATAATCAAATTTATTGCATTACAACTTAAGAAACTAGAGGGAAGAAAAAATCAGAAAAGGCATGTTTCATTAAATTAAACTGTATGGGTTATATGAAATGCCAATAGACTCAACATAAACTCAATTCTTCATATTTCCTGAAAGATCAAATTAGCCTGTGATAAAGGACAAGTAATTAAAGAATACGAATCATAACAGAAAATTGCAAGCATGACAACTTCAACAATAAAAAAAAAAAACCAAAATTGAATTTGAAAGAAATTTAAAGAACAGAAAAAAAAAAAAAAAGGAGGATACTTGAAGCAGTAATGATCAATATGAACAGTCATCTTGGAAGCTGTCAATGCTCCCTTTGAAATTTCTTGGAGTATGAACTCTGCTTGTTGTCTGTAACATGAAAGATAGCCATTTTCTTGATTCATATATCTGAGTCCTTGTGCTAGAGGCAATCCATCGCTTACCCTTCCAACAATAGTTATCTTAACCATTTATTTGAAAATTTCTTTTATCTCAAAAACTGTATTGTTTCTCCTTTCTTAATGACTTGGATGGATTATTTGAAAGGTGTTTTTATAGAATGTGTGAGTTGAAGGAACGAGTCAGAGAACTTGGAAAAGAAGTTATTCCAAGTGTATGCAAAAGGAGCCATTATGGGTGGAGAAAAGATAATGGGTGGCAAAAGCTATATATGATAAACCCCTAAGAAGAATATGCATTTCCCTCCTTTAGCACCTTTTTCCATCTTTTCAATTGTCATGGTCTCATCCAAAAGTGTTACTTTTTGTTTTTTTTATTTTTGGGTGCAAGATGAGAATTGTCATTTGAGGAACCCATCATCCACAACTGCAAAAGATATTATTTACTTATTTATGATTAAAATATGTTAGAGTTTTAAAGAATTAAATAAAAATAACCAACAATTACTTATTTACACAATGTATGATTGAAAAAATATGAAAAAAAATTATAAATTACTTATATTTTGTTCAAAATCTTTGAAAGAAAAAAAAAGAGTTAAAACTTTTTCTAACTCAATTTTAATTTCTTTCACAAAAATACTTTTGAATTAATAATTAAAATTATTCATCATAAATACGTAATAATAAAGTTTACCTTATCCTTTGTTAAAATTATTTTTTTTCTCTGTTTTGTAACCAATACGTTTAAGTATTCGTTTAGTTTAAAATTAAATATCAATAAAAAATAATCGGAAGATTTATAAATTAATATAAATTATATATTTTATTAAAAATATTTTTATATTAAAAGTATAAAAAAATAACTGAAAAGAAAAAAAGAGCAAAAATAGTTGCATTTGGCGTCTATTGATGTTGCATGATTTTAAAACACTTCTTTCTCAAAAGAGCTGCAAAATGTATCACATTTGATAGAGTGATATGAACAATGAGATGACATATACGAGCAAACCTAATAAAATTATATTAAAATTTAAAAGCTCATTAGTCAAAATTAAGATGATGTTTCCTGAAACAGTTTGCAGTGAATCTGACTGCGGGGAAACGATGGAGACAAGTATAAGAGAATAAATTTAAATTTTATTTTATTTAGTTTAAAATTTTTGAAAAAATTATGAAACAGTGGTTTATTCAATTTAATTTAATTTTTATTATTAGAAAATTTTTAAAAAATAAAATAATATAATTTTTAAACTTTACTCATTAATTAATTTATAAATTTACATAAATTACTCACCACGATATTGTTATTGTACTCATTAATATTACCTCACGTTTCTTCTCTTCCATTAATATTTATAAAAATATAATCATATTATAATAAAAAATATATTTTAAATGATAAAATATTATTATAATAATTAATTAGAGTTTAATGATTGAAACTTTAATTCTTATCTCAATTTTAATTATTAATTTTTTAATTAATAATTATAATTCTAAAACTTATTTATAAGTCTTTTAATATCATTATAAATAATTTAATTAAAATAAATTTAAAAGGTCAGTCAATTTCTAAATTTTTTTATAAAACATTCTTTATTCTGAAACGAGATTTTGACGAGAATAATTTTATTTTATTTATTATATAATTTAAAATCAATCCTCTAATTATCTTTTCTACTTAAAATCCAACCATTCACATCATTCAATTTTTTAAAAGCTGAATAAATGAATTTATCTTCTACCAAAAATTATTAACCAAGACATCAAACTATAGTAAAAAAATCAATATTTTCTCTTTAAACATAAATATTGATTTCTAAACTTTTTTTTATCAATATATTTATAATCCTTCGAAATTTATCAAATTTTCATTAATAAGTTGATTTCTAATTTTTTTTTTAAAATCTTGTATCTATCCTAAATTTTAAAGTATTTAGATAAATAATAATAATAAATTAAAAGTTAAAATTTTTTTTACAAAGCTATTATTACTTAAACTTTAAAAAATCTGACTTGATTTGTTATATATACATACATATATATAATTAAAATTATACATAAATTTAAATAAAAATAATTATACCTAAATTTTATTTTAAAAAATACACTCATATTTATAAAAAAATTATTAAAATAATAATACTTAATTTTATTAAATAAAATTTTAAACTTAAATTTAATATAGAAAAAAACTTCATTTCAATTGCATACAATATTTTTTATTCAAATAAAATTTATCTTTTATAAAATACAACAATGATAAATTTTTATTTTATTATGTAAAGTTAGTTACATAAATGATATTATACTATTTAATTTAAAATTATTTTAAAAAAATATTATTTATTATGAAATTTTAATTTTTTAAATATTTTTTACAAAATTAAATATTATATAATTAATCATTGTCACTAATATTATAAGTAAGTTCAAATTATCTTATTTTCTCTTCAATAATATTATTTGCAATATTTTTTAAATTATCTTATTTTCTCTTCAATAATATTATTTGCAATATTTTTTATAAATATATATAAAAATAAAAAATACGCATATATATATATATAAAAGACATGATCATCTTACAAACTATACTAAATTTAAATTTTTTATTTAACTTATATTTAAGGATATAAGTTAAATAAAAAATTTAAATTTAATGTAAAATTTTTTAAATTTATACTAATATATATATATATATATATATATATATATGAGATATTATTTAACTTAAATTTAACCTCTAATAATATAATAAATTATAATTTATTAAATTTAAATTAAATAAAAAATTGATATATATCTATCTATATATATATACACGGTGTGAAAAGGTAGGAAAGCAAAGAAGGGTAAGGAGAAGGCACGTTGACTGGGGAGGCAGTTCAGAACATAAATGCACCTCGTCAAGACCGTCTTCACCTTAACCAATAAACATTCATTAGATACTCATTCATTCATATACATATGCTGCTTCTTCCTTCCCATCACTATTCACTCTCTCTTGTCTTTTCTTCCACCGCTCCCACCTTTTCTTTCTTTTCAACCCAAAACATAACTTCACTCTCTCTTTCTGCTTTTCTTTTGTTGTCTACACTCTCACCTCAAATCATCCATCACAGTTGCATTGCACTCATGTGGAGGGAGGGATTCATTCTTATTTATTTGGGCTGCACCCTTTTCTCTTCCCTCGTTTTCTGCATCTGAAACACTCCTCTTCACCCTGCACTGACGCCTCAGTGGTGCTTATCTGCCACCCTTTTTCCACCACCATCTTCTCTTCTCTTCAAATTATGCCACTTTCTTATTTCTGAGCTTCTGATGCCTATATATAACTTTTTATATTGCCATTAAGAACCAAAGGCCCATTGTGTTACAGGGTATGTATGTTTTCTTTTTTCTTTTTTACTGATAAATATGACCCTCTTGTGGACCTTTAAGCCGCCTAATTGTCCTACACACACATGCATTTAATTCATATGTGTCCTTCTTCCCTTTCCTTCTGCAACACTCTTCTTCTTCTTCGTCTCTCTCTCTCTCTTATGCACCCTCCTCTAATTCTTATCATCGTTTTGTGCAAGGTTATTATCAAAAGCACGAGGTTAAAACAAAACGGTGTTTTTAGTGTTGTGGGGTGGTGATGAGTGGTGAAGATGGGTAAAGCACCCTGTTGTGAGAAACATGGAGTGAGAAGGGGGGCTTGGACTCCTGAAGAAGATGAAGCCTTGGTTGAGTACATCAAGAAGCATGGCCATGGAAGTTGGCGTACACTCCCCAAGCATGCAGGTGCAAGTTCTAATTTTTACCAGCTTTTGACGCTAGGGAAGAATAGGGCTTATGGAGAAATAAATTTCATTGTATGTTGTTGTTTCTTAGCACTGAAATTTTCATTTTCTTTAAGGATTTATATATTAATTCATTGAAAACTCTCTGTTTATCCTTGAAGAAACCTCAATCACAATGGGACTTTGTTTTCATAACGAAGATAACCTGCTTGTTGCTTTTGGCAGTGTGCAACTTTTTCATGTTATCATGTTTTTCTTTTTGTTGTTGTCAAATACAGTTCCTTCCTTCCTGCAGATGAATCAACAATGGAATAATTTTAATGTTAAATTGTTAATCTACTTAATCGTCATTTCATACCGGCTTTGACCAAGTTAATTGCTATTTGCATGCAGAGTTCTATTTTGCATTATATTTTGTTTCAGTTATGCTTTGCTCTATGAAAATGATTTTCAAATATTGTGCTGGAAGGGAGGATTCGAATGCTATGTAAACGGTGATGTTTGACACCCTAGCCTGTAAGGAAGAAAGACGAAGATATGCTTATGTTTGACAAAAAAAAGAAAAAAAACATTTAATTAATGTATGTTTGCAAATAGGTCTCCTACGATGTGGAAAAAGTTGTCGGCTTCGGTGGATAAACTATCTTCGCCCTGGCATCAAGCGTGGTCCATTTACTAATGAAGAGGAAAATACTATTATTCAACTTCATGGCATGCTTGGCAACAGGTAGCCTATTCCTCCATTTGCTTATTTTCTTGAACACACACCATACAGCGCAATACCCTCTTTGTTGTTGCATGTTTTTAAAAGTATGAAGCCCTCAACTTTACTGGTTTTCAAATTCAAGTGGTTAGATAATTAGGGTCCAGGAAAAATGTTATCGCTTCCAATGGATAAAGTTTCAGTTTCAGTGCTCAATAATATTCTTATTTTACCATTCTTTTAATCCTTTTTGTCATCAGGATCCTTACATACTAATTAAAAGATAGAAGTAGGACTTTCATGTTTTATAACAATACCATAGACATTCACAGTATATTATATTTTTCTTGTACTTTAATATTTGGTTGTATTAATCTGTGCTTGTGATATTACATTCACTCTTCATATAACCAGTAACCATGCATTCTTCTAGGTGGGCTGCTATAGCATCCCAACTACCTGGAAGAACAGACAATGAGATCAAGAACTATTGGAACACACATCTAAAGAAGCGCATTCTTCGGTCATGTCATTCCCAAAGAGCAAAACAGCCATGTATCCTTCCTGATCAAAGGATTGCGAAGTCTGAATCTCCCTCTACGCGACACATGGTACAATGGGAAAGTGCTAGAGTTGAGGCAGAGGCAAGGTTGTCAATGGAATCCTCACTGCTCAATTCATGGTCAATGAATAACGCATGCCCTGATTACTTTCTTCAACTTTGGCATTCTGAGGTTGGACAGTCATTTCGCATGATCAAGGGAAAGGAAGGAATTGTGTGTCAAAGTCCTTTCTCACAACCATCATCCTCATCAAAGTTGGAGTCATGTTCAGATGTTTCATTGCAGGTGAAAAACACTGGAAATAGTTGTTACACTTACAATCCAATGCTTGAAGATGTCAACATGATTCAAGAACACACAAGTAGCTACAAACCAAAGCTTGAAGATGACACTGGTGGCTCAGAGTCAGGCAATTTTGAATTTCTCGACACTTCTGATTCTGCACTAAAGCACCTATTAGATATGCCTGATACTGATATAGGATTCTTGGAACACAATGACAATTTCCTGAATCTCCTTGACGGTACATGTGACTAAGATACTCTCCTTAATATTTCCTCAGGGAAAAGGCAATACTTTGAACTGATAGGAAAATTTTCCTTGCCTTTTATGATTTCTTCATTTTTGTAAATGCACTCACCGTGTAGCTGGTTTCCAACAGTGGGGTCCATGTTGGATAGTTGCTAGTTGGTTTTGAGAGGGAAAAAGGTAGATATAGGAATAGCTGCTAAAGTTGAAGTATACCTTCCACTTGATGGAAGTAGCTAAAAGTTAATGTTAATGGATTGAGTTTAAGATATTCACATCTTTCAACTTATGCTGCTTATGTGTATTTGTGGGCCGATTTTTTAAAAAAGTTTTGATGATGTGTTTTTCGATTCACAAGTACAGGGTTTAAATATGTCTAAATGAATTGGAATTTTAGTGTTGACATGGCAATAAATAAAAATTAACAAGAAACGCAGCCTAAACTATTGTATTTACACTATCTGACAATTATTTGATTAAACATTAAGTCCGTCGATACTGAATTTTCCTTTAATGAGAGTAAAGGTGTATTCAATTTTGAATTATAATAAGGTCACGTTAGATTATAAATACCATCAATTGTTCACTTCAATACAAGCTTACTTAAGAAGAATAATGTCCTAATTTGATTAATTATTACAATAATTTAATTTTAAATTAGGTATTATTTACAGAGTTATTTATTAATGTGGTAAAAGTCAATTTTAGATAAAAAATGATGGCCAGAAGATTGGTTCTTTCGGGTCAAGTTATATATTTTTATCAACTATCATACTGTCCAGTAAGGCAGAAGTATTTGGATAAATTGCCCCCCTCTGGGCCTGAAAAGGGTCAGTGGCCTAATGCTACAAGAAATTGGTATTACCCAAATTGAATAATTCAATTTCTTTTTATCCACAAAGTAATTGGTATATACATACATACCGACAGATCACTATGCACACATAATAAATGAACATGAAACTACAACTCACCAAAAGACAACCAAACCACACATGTACTGACATGAACTCAAAGAAAATACATAATAGAAATTATAATAATACAACATTTTTAATGAGGCTCCTTAGAAACAACCAAGGAGTTTCTTTGGGGCTGTTCCAGTTGCCCTGTACTTTGCAGATGTCTCCTCTGCCTTCAAGAAATCTTCCCCTTTTTTGGCCTCAATCATTGCCCTCTTTTCTTCAGCTTCCCGGTGGATTGTAGCTATTTTGTTTTTCAATTTCTCTGCATACTCTGCCTTTTTCTTCTCCAGTTGTTCCTACTCACAAACACAGTGAAAAGTCAATTTTTACTACCCATCTTTTGCCACATTCAATGTGCCTTAAATTTGGTGTATTTTTCTCTCAGCTCTGAACTTTTACACTCAAATTTTTATGCTTATATTATTTTTTCTTTCTTTTTCATTATATCATTTGTAATATTTATTATTATTTTTTCATTCCCTTCCTATCTCTCTTTTTATCTCCTAAGGGTACTATACACATGTACTGGGGTGTGCAAAAAATTCTTTTTGTTTTAAGTTGACCTAAAAATTAACATAATTTATCAAAAGAATATGCCGATTGCATTCGTATAAAATATAATATTTGGGGAGTATATAAGATCACTTTTCAGAGGAAAAATAACAATAGATTTTTGTTGTTGTGATTATTCTATTGTTAAAAATGGCTATTCAAGGATCACCCTGCCCCCAAAATCTTATTCTTTCAATTTCTGAGAGGGTGGGTGGATATATGTTTATTCAATGTTTCTTCATTCCCCTTCAAAAGTCAAAAACAAATTTAATACCAGTTCAAAAAATAATCAATAAGTGGACACAACATTTTGTACAGTTATCACCAAACTAATTACATTATTACTAATGAAATATATGTTCTTACTTCAATCCTTTTCAATTCAGCCTCCGTTGCAGCTTTTTTACAATTCTCCCATGCTGAAATGGCTGAAAGCTTTTTGTGAGCTCTGCTCATCAGATTCATTTAAATTAGTAAAAAAAAAAAAAAACTCGTTAGATGACATCAAAGAGCCAAATGACTTGATAAAATAACATGAACATCTGATGTTAACAAGCTAATTTGGCAAAATAAATAGCAGTCATATGTTTCTAATTAAAATTACATATTTAGATATCTTTTTCAAACTTAATTTCTCAGTGATCACGTTTTAATGATGTTATGCGGTGCCAGAATGTTTGCTTCCAAGAGAGTGCATTGCCAAAGATCAGGCCTGTTTCTATTCGATCTGAAAAGGGAATGTATTGAATTACAATAATAAATTTGATGTTTTGGTTTTTAGAATTTTTTTTTATTTTTAATTACAATAATTTCAACTTATTTTTATTTTATTTTCTGTTTTCAAATATTTGTATAGGAAATAGTGCAAAAATAAATTATTTTTACTATTTTTTATATAAAGCCTTAGGATTTATTAATATATTTAGTTCGTAAAAAAATGAATTTTTTTTATAATTTACATTATTCTATTATTCTTTAAAATATAATTAAAAAAATTATTAAAAAAATTCTAACTTCTTTCTAGTTTTTTTATTATATTTAGAATTTAAGAAATTTCTTTTATACCGTAATACTAATCCATTATAATAGAAGAATGTATATTGTAAAGAAGACTATTTAACTTAATTTATTATTTTTACTATTTTTTATATAAACTTTTGGAAACAGAGCAAAATAAAAAATATTTTTTTAAACCAAAATACCTAAAACAAAATAGAACTTACCCAGTTGTCCATATAAAATATGAAACTAGCAATAGCATAGATGGTTAAGCAAGTGGTGCAAGCTCTTACTTGTTCTCTGCTCTTGACTTTTCACTTTCTTCCCATGCTTTAATTAGTGACAGCCTCTTCTCTGTTGCAACTCTTGCGAGCACTGTATCTGAAGAAGAATGAGAAGACGTAGGATGTAATGTCAGCATATGAAATGCACAGAGGGAAATCAAGTCTCACAATGACAAACAAAACAAACACACCTCGGTTGACAGAGCCCTCAATTGGTTTCTCTTCAGCAACTTCATTAGATTTAGGTTCTGACAGTAACCAAATTAACAACAACAAACAATAAAATCAATGTAATTGTTATGTTAAACCATTTATAGGAATAAGATATTAATAAGAATGTGCATTGTGGTGAACTAAAGAGACAAGTATTTTTCCTTAGTATAATATTTGTTGAGAAATAGAAGGGAAAAAAACAAGAGAAAAGTGCAAGTAATAGTGGTTAAATAAACCTGAGTGCTCATGCAAGGCAAATTAAAAACTCTATTCTCTCTTGCACTCATTCAATTATTGAAATGTGTAGCTCAGATTTCTGTCTAGTTTACTGAAACAAAATTTTAAAACTGTCAGAAGCTGGTTTACGACATTAGCCATGATTAAACCAAAAGTATATGTATAATTGAATTCCAAGGCCATGTGAAGGTGATTTGTGAATAGATGAAAAATATGAACACATGGTTAACTAAAAAAATATCAACATGGATGATCTTAAAACCATTAAAAAGGAAATAGTTTCCAAATCACAAGACCAAGCTGAGATGCTTCTTCATTTGAATCTACACATATTTTGGGCCTAAATACGCAAAACTGGATCTTTAATTGAGTGCCATAATCTTAATTAGCTTGCAGTTGGATAGTTATATATACACACAGTAATTCGGATATATGACCCTTTCCAGTAGAATTACAACCGAAGTTCCAGCTAAAGGAAACAGATAAAAGCACACAAAAAATAAGAAAAACACGAAAAAATCAAGCATGCCTTTATTTTCTGTTGAACTTTTTTAAAGCCCCTTTATGCAATTCGTTAGGACAAGCCACAATGCTTTTCTTACTGAAAAAAAAAAAAAGGGAAATAAAAAGAACAAAAATTTCCCTGCAATTAAAACTAGTTTACAAACACTGTTTACAATTGTTTAAAAAATATAAACAAGACGACAGAAAAACAAACATGAGACGTTAAAAAAACAATATTGCCATAAAAACTAATTTTTTTTTTCAAAAAAAAAAACTCTACTGTTTCGCTAACATCTTTCATAAATAATATCATAGAATCGATTTCTCTTATACTAAAAATCATGATGTAACTCAAAAGAAATTAAGAACTGGTAACCGATTAAAAAAGTAATAAAGATACACAGATAGATAAGCAATAACTTATTGTTTTTGTGATTTGAAATCATGGTGTAGCCAACCATACAGATACATAATATGAATGATATGATAAGATCACCCTTCTGGTAGCAAATATTGAATTAACGACAAGAGAAAGGAGAATCATAGTGTCATACTCTCAACTATGGCAAGAGCTTTGGAGTCATCGGGAGGAGAGGGTTGTGGAATTACAGATTTCTCCTCAGCCACATCCTCCTTGGGAAGATCATGAACAACAACAGGTTCAGATTGGGGTGTAGTCTCAGTTGGAGCAGGTTTCGATGGTGATTCGCACTCTACCTTTTTGGGCTGTTCATCAGTCATTTTTTCTAGCACTGATAATTTGGAACTCTTAGCAGAAACCAGAAAGACGAAACTCTGAGTTATTTAGGAGAAGCGAAGAAGGAAGAGAAGAGGGGTTGGTTGGGATATTATGGTTGAAGGAAGGTAACTGTTAACTGCAATTCCAAAAACTTAGCTGGGTGGGTGCGGTAGGTACAAGTGCCCTCTTATGAGTTGGCACAGCACACGAATAGAGACACTCCTCTGCGCCGTAATTTATATATTTCCATACTTTTTTTTTTATTTCAATATCTACAAAGAAAATTATTTAATAATTGAATTTTATAATATTTAATAACAATTTATTTAAACATATTTATTATACTTTTATATGTTTAATATACTTTTTTTTTATAAAAACATACTTTAGATGTTTAACAACAAAACCAATAAATAAAATAAAATTTCAACGTGTTTATGACAAAGAATTGTCCAAACAGTACTGCATAAAGTGCCCTATATTATCTTTTTTACTTGGATTGATCCGCTACTATTAAAATTAAAAAACTGCAGAGGCATGTAGTAAAAATTCTAAAGTTTATCATTTGTAATAAAATATTTTTTAATGTGTCAAATGACACACAATAAAAAAATTAATAAATAATAATTTGTTATTAAAATTACAATATATAAGATTATCAAGACATGGAATTATATATAAGAGGATTCAAATCTTTCTTATTTATTTTTATTCGTTTATTTACTGTGATTCGTGGAGATTCTTTAATTTCATCTTTTATGTGGGGCCTAACTTGTAAAGATGCTCGTTGTCTCTTGCAATCAATCATGGTTAATTACATTAATTGGTTAATTTCCTCCTAAACTTGTAAAACCACCTTTCCGTAATTCTAAATGCTATTTTTACTTTTTTTTTACCTTTATTTTTTGTGTTGAGTTTAAGTATATAAATATAATAAATTTTATTAAAATTTAATATTATTTTCCTTGTAGTGAAAAACATGGGTTGGACATGTAGGGATATTGTCGAAATTTAGATTTTATTCCAACTCACAAATGTATGGTCATGCACAATTTGGTGATTATGTCACTGTCTCAGTTTCTGACAGATTTTTTTTCGTCCTAAGTAATCATTTTGTATGAATTATGAGTTTTCTTATTCTCTATTGGAGAAAGAAAAATAACAGTTTTACCGTTAACTATTGCGTGCACGTAAACACAACGAATTTGGAGTCATTGAAGTCACTTTTTTCAACATATCTTAGGATCAATTTAATTTAATCAATCCAAATTTATATCCTTTCAAGATTGAAATACTTGTCTTAAATTATTCCTTTTTTTATGTGGTTACTAACTGAATATTATAATGATTCAAATACACCAAATATTTTCAAACGGCTCCACAATTTATATAAATAAAAATGGGACACTTTTTAAAGCCAAAAAAATACATTTAGTTCAAGAAATGAATGCCATTACTGTAAATGTTATAACTATTAATGAAAAATTTATTAACACAAATTTTATAATAAATAAAAATGAATAAAAATGTTATAAATTAAATGAATAAAAATGTTCATTGTTACGAATAATTAAGAAATACTTTATCAACACAAATTTTATAATAAATAAAAATATAAAATAATTTTAGTAATTAATACATATAAAAATTATTTTTTATAATTAAGAAAAATTAGTTATCATTTCAAATAAAAAAAAAGAGAAAATGATAATTTTTTATTAAAAATTATAACATTAATCTTGTCAACGTGAATCGCGAAATATCCTGTAATTTTCATACGTGTTTTTATTTATCTTTTCTTGAAGATGTTTTTGAGAGTTAAGTCTAATTTGTTTCTGATACATGATCTAAGAATGGCGTTGCTTCCATAAACTCCGTTAGAGGTTGCATGATATAGGTTAATTTGTTGATGTTATTGGGGTTTCTGACCTATTCTGTTCGCTCGTTGTAGGTGTAGCCTTTCTTTGTGGTGTAACTTGTGTCTTCAGCTTTTTGTCCCTTTGTTTTCACCCAAAAAAAAAGTGTTACAATGCATCATGTCATTTAATTTCACTTTCGAATTGGAGTAAGAGTTAAAACGAAGTATTTTATTTTTTCCGTTCTCTTATAAAATCGTGGAAATAGATATAAAGTGGATTGCAAGGGTGCTGGGAAATAAGTATGTATAAAATGGATCACACGGGTGCTAACCCACGAAAGCTAGTGCAGAGAGTGATATTTTCACCTCAAGACTTGCACAAAAGAGAAAAATCAAGCCAATACAAAATGTAAAGGTGATGGTAAGATTAGTCGTAACGTGCATGCCCTATTAGCTCTTCTTAGTGACGACAAAAATGTCTTTTTGGTTATCCCATGTCGTTGTATCATGAAATTGCACGTGAATGCATCATCACTTGCCCGATAATCTACTTTGAACTGGGATTTTCTGAAAATTAATTATGATTTTAAGTGAAGGACAGTATTTTCCAAATAGCTAAGATAAGATAATATGTAGCGCATAATAAAGACAATATTTATCTACTCGATCATTTCTCAAAAATTATAATTGATGGCACGCTCTTATTGGTATGAGAAAATGGCACCTACTCGTGGATTGGTGGCGGAGCCAACGTAGACTCATAGCCACCTTCCATGGCTATGATGCAGGATGAGGACTACACAATGTATATGACCTATATATTGATGAGCCTGACACGGTCCATAGACGTTCAAGGGTCTGCAGTTTTGGAATATTACAGGACATCTTAGCCAGTAAGAAATGGTACGAGTATCTTGTAATTGACAGGGTATGACCAAAGTTAACACACTTTGGAGTAAATACAATTTCCATTTATAACAATTTAAAACAACCCTGTGAATCTAGCTGGAGTCAGTTGTTAATTTCACCGTTTGGACCCATTTTATAACCGATAAAAACAGATAAGTCGATATTAAAAGTGCTGATGTAAAACAATAACTAATTTCACGTTTCAGGATAACATTGATGATTTACAAGCTTTTGTGTCCCAAAATATAAACAAGAGATTATTTGCTTCGTCCCACTCCCAGTACAAACATTAGCAGACATGATATTATTCAATACAAGTATGATTACAAATAGAAATCTATATGGGTTCATAGTCATCTGCTGCTGCAGGAGCATCAGATATAGCAGATAATACAACAAAGGCACCAAATAAGATTGTGATCACAGCAGTGAAGTTGACAAGTAAAGCTTCAGAGCCATATTTTGCCAATCCTGAGTTCTCCAGGAAAGTGAGCTTCTCCAAAAACCCGAGAGAAGCAGTGGCCACAGCCAAGACATATACAAACAGCCCAAATAGCACGTGCCAAGGAAGTGAGTAACGTCTAATGTCTTGTGTCCCACCAGGGAAGAAAAAGATCACAAACCCATATATCCACTGCAGGTAAACCAATACAATGTTAGACAAAATTGTAATATCATATCCTGTTCAGCGAATACTATACTGATAGGATAGTTTAGTCATATCCAACACTTTACCTGAATGCCATAAAGGGAAATAACAGCAATTCCAAGCCATGAATGCAAGCTGTACAGATTGGCAATCCCACTCTCATTATGATACTTAAAGGCAGTATAAATTCCAATTATTCCAAGTGCTAATGCAATGGCGTGGAGAACAAGGTGTATCAATTTCTTCACCTCCTTTTTCAGGGGAAGAGCTTTGTAACTTATAATAGCTGCAATTTTTTTTGTGTGTGAGAAAATTTAAGAAACAATTAGTACGTCAACAAAATCAAGTGGTGTTGAACTGTTGATTCATAAAGCAGATACTTGTGAACGTATATTGATTACCTTCACCTCCAAGAACTATTAAGCCAATAATTATAAGAACGGGATGAATCTGTATAAAGAAAAAGATGCGTAAGATATAGGGATTTCCTAAAAGCGATAGCACAACTCAACCACAAATATATGTGTGGAATTACCAGTCACTTATTATAATAATAAATCAACTTGTATAATAAACTATTCTTCACACATTTCTTTGATCTAATGATGCAAGAGAGAGAGACCATAATGTTAATCCAGATTCGAGGGGTCCCATCTCTGAATATAATAATTCTTTTTGTATATAAGAGATAAATACTGTAGACGGATGGAAATGTCAAGGTCAATTGCTTGCAGACATGAGACACAACAAAATTCAAAACTCAAACCAAGAAGATAAGCCAGGCTTTCACTGTTATAATCATGAATATCGATAATTCAATGTTAAGGATAATACTTGAGTTGGCAGCACATATAGCAGCAGTACCATGTGACAATTCCATTTCTCACTCAAATGCTAAACAGATAAGCAAGTGGGTCCATCTCCATCCAGCAAGTTAGAAATTCTGGACCCCATAAATTATTAAATTAAAAGGAGTAGTAGGTAAAGATGAGGCCAATAATTAATCAAAACATATTATAAATAGCAAATAACAGTAAAAATCTACAGACACCCAAAAAATCCACTTTTGATCCTTAAAACTAGTTCTAATAATTATGTTTGAGAGAAACGCAGTGTTTCCCGTCAGAACCCCGAGAGAAACACAAAGGAAGGACTTCCGACTGGACCATTTGCCATTGCAACACTAATATTCACTAGAACAATAAAACAAAAAACTGTCATAAATCCTTTACCGTCTACTCACCTTAAAATTTTCTTTGTCAAAAATAAAAGCAAAAGTAGGTAGCTCTTATATAGCCATCATCAGATGGTTGTCAATAAAAAGCACAATTTCTGTTTATTTTATTTACGAGACAATAAAAGGGATCTGGCACTACAATGATATGAATCACTTTTAAATATAAAAATGACATCACATATCTAATTTATCACAAGTGGCAGCACCCACATATAGATTATGTATAGATATATCATATATATAACACACGAGGTACATGCACTCCATAAAAAAAAATTTCAGTCTACAAAATTTGAAATAAATAATTCATACCAAAATTATTAAATGTTCGTAAATTAGAGGTAAAAAATTATTCAAAGCACAGGTAGTAAAAAATAACACTCAGATATGAATTTATGATTCTGTTTCAAACAAATCGAAATTGCACCATAAAAATTCTTCAACCAGATGCACCTTTCAATCCATGCTATTTTTTCAATTTCAAAATACATAGCTACAAGCCTATAATATCTTTCGTTTAATTACTGTTTTAGTAAAATGTATTTAAATTAATTACTCGTGTAAACACCAATTTTTCAGCTGCATATGAACACCGGTTATTATTGACAGTAGTAAGATAAATTAGGAAGAGGTTTTATATCAAAGTTATACCTCCAAAAAATGGCAACTATGTAAAATTTAAGTTCCACGGCGATAAATATTCGGTTACATATTTCAGGGGGAAAAAAAAAAGAGGGGAAAACTATTTTCAAAGCGCACCTAAAACAATGAGTTTAGAGGCACGAGTCAGAGCTCTGGAGTTGAACAATCGTCTAAAACTAATTTAACCTCTAAGATTAAAACTACATACTTATTCGGTTATTCCATATGATAAATAACAACAGCGAAAACAAGGAAGAGAACTGCAAATCGTTTTTGAGTAGGTGATGGGGAAAGCTGGAAGTGGTTTCCAAACAAGCAAAAACGCAATTTAACAGCACAGAAGAGAAATAAATTTGAAATTAAGTTGAGGGCCATTAACATTTAATTAACCAAAAAAGGAAAGCGAAAAATGAAGAGGGAGAGAGAGGGCAGCGTTACATTGAAGATAAGGGCCTTGTTGGAAGAGTCCCAAGCCAAGCCACCCCTGAAATGAATGTTCCAGACCAATACCAAGATGATTGCAACAAGACCTAGAAGATGAACAACGTACGTGAAGGGAAGAGCAACCACACCTAAAGCCATCTTCTTCAGTGTTTGTTGCAACTGTTTAACTGCAATCGCCAATCACAATATAAGATATCGATGCCGTCGACCATCTAACCCTCCATTTGACCGTCTGATGCCAATCCAGATCTTTTTCCTTCTTTGGCTAGATGCTCGCCACGTGTTCCTCTCTCTTGCCACACTTCCTTGTTTCATATCAAACGTTTTACCGTCCCTTTTTTTTATGCTCTAGTAAATTTCATCACTATATTTTGTTTTCTCTCTCGTTGTTATTGTTGTTTAATTAATTGGAGTAACGATTATTTCTTTCTTTGCTTTTATATTCTTCAGATTAAATATCTGATTTTAAATAAGTCAAAATCATCATCAATCTCCAATTAATTTTCATTCAACATTTTTTGGTTGAAATTTTTTTACCTTTTTAATAACCTTCATCTGAAAATATTTCCTTGATAGTTACTAATGGCTCTTACCCTATTGCATCCGTTACCGAATGATGAAAGGAACAGCTCTTGTGTTTTTCCATTAATATTTCACTAATTAATTTCCATCAGTTTACCATTTTAATCATGCTTAATGAATACTTTCATTCTCCCTCAATTTTAAATGATAGAAACTATATGCACATGAGATAGAAGTATTTGTGTTTCTTAGCAAAGGCCTAATAGTTATCAGTAGTGGTGTTTTGTTTTGCATATGCTGAAGTAGGCAATGACGTTCTCTTTAGACTTTTATTTTTTTAAAGAAAAAAAAGAGAAAATTGCACTGACCTTCTCCCTCCTTTCCGCAGACTATGGACAGTAATCATAACTGCCCAATAAGACGAGGCCGAAATTTTATTTATCTTTTATTTATGCATAAAATATTAATTTCACAAATTTACTTGTTGATATTTTCATAATTATATTTGTTAACTAACTATATAAAAATATTTATTCATATTTTAAAAATATTTTATATTTTAAAATAAAAATAACAAAATATAAAAAAACTTATCTTTTTAATGAAGTTATCATTCGGTTAAATTAAATTCAATATTTATTAATAAAAGTTGTTGAAATGTTTTTAAAAAAATTATGCCTTTTGATGAATTAATAATTTTATTGGCAGAAAAGTACTTTAAATATAAAAAAAAAACTACAAGTGATTAAAAACAAATAATAACAATATTATGTGATATATCGCCCTTTTGTTTGAGACAGCGACGAACGCGAATATACGATAAAACGAAGTACGGAGATCGACAACGATGATCGATTTGGACACCCAACTGGTGGTCCTGGAAATTGGAATCGCGCTTTTATCGTCACAACTCAGCTAATTGTTACCCTTTGGATATTTTGCTTGAATAAATGCTTTATGAAAAATTACTTTTGTACTATGTGAAGACATATTTTTAAATTTTTATATATATAATATTAATTTTTTATTTAAATAATTGAATCAAGACTTAATTGGTGGTCAACCACGAGAAACAACCTTAACTGATGAAAAATGTTGTACATATAAAATATATTAATATATCTCATATCTATTGAAACAAAATAGAGAAAAGGCAAATGAAATTGACACGTTATAAAAGCTTCTTATCTTATTTTTCTAGTATTCAAAATTAATTATAGTTTTAAAAAACATACAAAAAAAAAAGTGCCTTACCCGACCGCATATATAATATATAATGGTTTGTTAACCTTTACTTCTATGCGATAATTAACAGGTTCGATATAAGGTTGAAGGTGATGTTAAAGTGGACTGGCCTCTGGAACGGGTTGAATGCTTTGCATTTGTTGGTACACCTAATCTGTCTATTTTTATCCGTTAAAATGCAGATTAATGATAAGTTATTTTGGACTTATTTTTAATTTTTTTTAAAAATATTTAATAATTAAATATTTATTTTATTAATATATATATATTTTTATCAATTTTGTAATTTTTTTATATTTTTGTGTTACTTATTATTCCATTGATCTATTAATTTTTGCGTTTTTTTTTTTTTTTTAGTGTTTGACTCAACGAGTTGAATTAGAAAATCTAGTTATTTTTTAAACTGGTCCCATTTTTTAATAGAATTTTAGCGGAATGGAGACAAGCTGACCTGTAACTATATGTTTGATAAGAATGGTGTGAGTAAAAAGCTGGGTAGGGCAAAAAGTTTGGGCCACAAGCAAGTTAGGCTTATCCCTGTTGACCCAATAGCAACGTTTTTTTGTAAGGTTAGCAAATCGCAATACCGAGACCAAGCAAACAATTCCACCTTAACTGGTCTTTAGTTATTACAAATAAACTGGGCTTTTATATCCGATACAATACAAATGACAAGAAGTCCATAACATTACAAAAAATGCCATACGTTGGACCCCCAAGTTACAAGAAAACAAGAACTTCACAATCTTTTTGCTTACATTATTTTGTCGAAAGTCTACAAAAAATGGAGGGGGGGATAGTGGCTTAACGAAGATGGTTTTGATTCTTATTGAATATTTATGAATTTAGTATTGTAAATTATTGCTGCATTTTTATAATAAAAAGCAAGTTTTAATATTTGAAAAGACTTTACATGTTTAACTATATCACCTAAAACTATATTAAAAGAAACAACCAGCAACCACCATATGAGCTGAGTTATAATCAAATATTAAACTAGTTAATATTAACTATTTAACATTAACCATCTACACTTTATATGATGAAATAAAGTCTTCAATTTCTCCAATAAGATAATATTTTACAAGACATTTTTCTTCTTATTTACGCAACTTTATTCTTGAAAAATATTTTTGCAACAATTAAACTAGTTACTTTTAATTCTTCTCTAAATTTAAGTTGTTTATGATATCAAATTAACGACTTAATATTTTTTATTTTAAAAAATTCTCTTCCTCTCAAATTTCAGTGGCTTATTTTCCCAAATTAATTATTTTTACTTTTTTCTTTATATGATACATTAAAATATGTTCTTTAAAAAGTTACTTAATCTTTTAGTGTATATACCTGAATTAATTGCGCATAGTTTCTTTAAAAGATGGAATCAACTGAGTTCAAATTTTGTGTACGAAAAAAATGTTTAAAAAGTTAATCCGTTTATAATATAAAAACTTTTAATTTAAATAAACTTATCTTGTATAAAAAGTATTTATAGTTTAAGCCGAAAAGATCAATAGTTTGATCATTAATATACATGCGTTTGTCAAGTACTGTTGTTGGGTATTCCATTTACTGAATTGGGTTATGAACATGGATTAGTAAATTGCAGCTAAAAGATACATGATAAGTAGGTATTTCAGATGCAATATTAAAGTCAAGTGCACACTCCACTTCCGGATATACCCAAGATTCATCATTTCAATCTTCTTAATTTATTGGCCATATATAGAAAAAAGAAAAAGAAAAAAGCAATAACATGATCTAGAGAACAAAAGAACGTCTCAATAATGCATCTATCCGTCATTCATTGTGTTCATATCTATCATAGAGAGACAGAGAATTAAGAGGAAAAGATTGAGAACCACCCTATTGACACTTGTCAAGCTTTGAAGTTTGATTGTATAGTATATATGCTACGATGGCACGCTATGAACCAAGCAAAGATAGGCTATGCCATCAAAAATTTAAGGATTGAAATGCGATACACTGTGACCTGTGAGTTCCACGGGACAAGACAAGAAGCTTGGAACAAAGTTCGCAAGTAACGAACTTGTCTTTGCCATTCTCAGAAAGAGACATTTCAAGTGCTTTCTTTTCAGATTTGGGAATCCTACTCCTTTGCCGACGTACCCAATCTTCATAAAAGTGAAATAACAGATAGATTCACCTTTTTTTAAGGAGCGATTCTTTCTTCATGCTGATTATTTATAAAATTGATGTTCCCTTTGTCAAAGCTCAGAGGAAGAAGGTAGCTGATAGATTTCATTGTTGATCTTTGTCGATTTTTTATTATCCGTTTTGTTAATTATTTCGGGTTTTGATTTTGCATTATCTGTATGTTCATATTTATTAGGGTGGCTTAGCGTGCGTAGTTTATGACATCACCCTTGATTGTATTTTTAAATCGAATTGAAAATGTTTGATAAAATTAATCATTGAACTAGCTAATACATGTAAAATGAAAAATAAAAAATCATTATTTTTTACTCTAAACTTTAAATTTTAACAATTGTATAATAATTTAGTTATATTTTGATAACGTTTAATGACAAACATAATTTAAAAAAGTTGAACCTCGAAAAATAAAAGTAATAATATTTCAAATGAAAGGAAAAAATATTAAAAATTATTTGGGAGAAAAATATTTATTTATTTTATTTTTAAATAGTAATTGAAAATTAGTTAAAAGAGTGCTACTTAGAGTAGTATTAGAAAAAATGTATGCAACTGTCTATTTTAATTATCTTTCTAAACTAAGCTATTTTTGTCTTTTTAGTTAGTTAACTAAAATGCTTTGCTAAACACATTCTTAATTTATATTAATAAGTTTTTGTGCATTACATGAATAATATTAAACTAAAATATTCGTTTAAATAAAAAATTGAAATGTATTGATTGATATTTTAAAAATTTATTAAACTTTATAATTTTTATTATTAATACAATTTTTTTATATTAAATATAAAATTATTTCTTCATCCCTTATTAATATGACATGTTAAAATTTTATATTGTTTTAAGATTATAATAATTTTAAAATTTATTTTATCTAAAAAGCGAAATATCTTCAATTCGATAGAATATGTCAAAATTTGAAATAAAAAATAATATAAAAACAACGGTTAAGAAAAATGACTAAATAAAAAAAAATTCATGTGATGTAATGAAAGAAAGAAATAACTTTCAAGAATACTTGCCTTTACGATAGTAAAAGTAAAATATATGTGAATTCATTTTTAATGCTTGCTAAACATAAAAATTATTCTAGTTTAAAGCAATCAATAATTAAGAAAATATGCAAAATATATTTTATTTAAAATATATTAAATAATAAATGTAGAACAGATTGATGGGAGTGTCTAATTAATATAGAAAACAATATTTTCTATAAAAAAATTTGTGGCTAAAAATAATTATTCGCCGATATTTCATGAAGAATATTATTATATAGTACATAACTAAAATCATTATCCCACTGTTTACCTATGCCCATGTTTATAAAGCCTCTTAGCTGGCAAACATAATTGCTACCATTTATACGGAAGATTTTTATACCTAAAAAATAAACCGAAGATTCCCACATTGAATTGGTAAAACTGATTTCATTATTTCATTAAATCTCAAAGACTTGCAATTCTGATTATGGGTCCAACTTATTGCCCAAAATTTGTGAAAGTGGGTACTAATCTTTAATTCTTGGGTTCTCCATGATTCTCTGTCATTAGTCCAAGCACATAACTACTAGCCCATGATTTTTCCACGCCATATTTTGTAATCAATGATTTGTAGTGACTTTTGAAAAGGTAATTCAACTTTTATTTAATTATTATTATGGTGCAAAACCGAAAGTCAGGGACAAGGGAGAAAAGTTGTAGCCCTCAGTGTGGTGGGGAGAAAGGGAGTTGTAGTGTGATGCTTTGGACAGGTAACCAAGAAAACAAATTCAGGTTGAAGAATGAGGATCATTTCTTCCTACAAGAAAGAAAAAAAAATGGTTCTTGTTTCTTGATTATGGCAAATGAATGCCATGAAGGGTTGGTTACACATACATGCTACACTTGACAGTGATATAATGGAATAGGGGGTTGGAAACCACTGATATACATCACTGCCTTAACACCAAAACTCCAAGACTACCTTCAATGGATCCGTATAAGCTTGTGTGTGGAATTAAATTTGTATGGAGCTAGTGGACAAGGTTATTATTTCTGATTCTATAAACCTAGGTGTCCACGGCTTGTGGGCCACCTTAGCCATATGCTTGGATAGGTGAAGGTCAATTGTTTATACTAATTTTATAATGTTTTTATTTTATATATCACATTTGAGAAGGCCAGTTTTGGTGCAACTAAAAAGACAATTTTTGTGATTTGGTGGTCACTTATTTCAATTAGTTTGTAACATTTTATTTTTCAAAAAGGATGAAGATGTGTATAGCATTTTTTTTTCCTGATCTTTTGACGTGAGTATCATGTATGGGGCACCTAAATTTTAATTAAATTAATTGATTCGTTTAAATTTTCTTTTCAATGATAACATCAAATAATTTTCAATTTTTTTTTTGGAAAGGGTTACCACCTTATTGTTGATGTGTTAATTGCTTATTACTTAAAATACACAAGAAAAATAATTTCAGTATGTTAAGGATCTGTTTGGCCGCCGACAGTGGCATGTGCTGAATGTGTATACACAAATGCCTAAGTTGCTTAGCTTTGTTTTACGAAGCTTGTTGTTTTATATATTTTATTTTATTTTATTTGCTTATTGCCACTTAAATAGATATTGAAGAAGGCTAAATATATGTGGGGACCAAGGCTCATAGCATTTACAACTCATTTCTGAATAAACTTTCCTCATCATACCCTTGCAGCAGAAAGGTGCTACATTTATGTCTTGGTGGGTTGTTGCTTATCAAAGACAGCACAGAAGCACATGGACACTGCTCTACCCTTTTTACTTCACCCTTTGGAATAATTAGATTTCTAGGTGAATTTGGTCAAATAAAATGTCATTCTCATTCCCATTTAAATGTAGGAACAATTACGATCTAGCTGCTGATTTGAACCTCTCTTCCTAACTCTATTTCTTACCCCAACTAGTGGGTTATCATTACAAACTGAAAGCAAGTTCTCTTAAAGACCCATTTATTGAAATTTTAACGCGACAATTATTACTAAAAAAAAATTTTGTTTACCGTGATTGACACTCATGTGTTTGGTCAATGTTGTCATTTTAATTTTCCTCACCCCTTTTTCCTTGTAAAAAAGCAAAAAGGAGACCATAATGCTATTCAGCTGTGTTACCCTTTACATTATCTTTGGTGCATGAAGACATGCGGAGAAGCTTCTAATATCAAAATTATTTTTCTTTATTGCTTTTTGTTAGTAGTTTGCTAATAATACAAGTTCAGTATCTCAGCCAAGGAATCAGGAGCCACTTCACAAGACTCTTGGCTTTCTGAACACTCTGATACTTCATTCCAGTCATTAACTGAATCAGTCACAGATAATAAATTTTCTAGTTTCAAATCAACAAATCCATTTCCCTCACCAATGAGGTGCAGCTTATAAGAGGCTTGTCTTCTGGCATCTACAATACTGCAACGGCCATATTTATCAGCCTGAAAACATGTTCAAGTCATGGAGCAAGAAGAACAAAATCAAAGCTGTGTTCAAACTGGAGTTTCAGGCAACACAGGTAAGTAAAATCAAATCTTTAGTTTATGTGCTACTAAATCTAAAAAGGGGGTTTGGCCTAGCTTTTATAATTGAAACAAATTGCACAGAAAGTTTGAAATTTACATAGTATCACATATTTGTCTTGGTTATAAGAGTTTGACTGTTTGTGTAGTGAGGGGAATGTCATACACAAACCAATGTACAGATTCTGTAGGCAGTGTTTTTGACCTTGTTCTTCATGTCCTATTTTATCAGGTGCCAAAGATGAAAAAGTCTGCACTGATGGTATCTTTGGTGCCAGATGATGTTGGGAAGCCAACTGTGAAACTAGAGAAAACTGCTGTCCAAGATGGGACCTGCTTATGGGAGAATCCAGTTTTTGAGTCAGTTAAACTCATTAGAGATTCAAAATCAGGAAAGCTCCATGAGAAAATCTACCATTTTGTTGTTTCAACTGTAAGCAGTAGTTGTGATTTCGCACTGTCTTTTTACCCAACTAAGAGGTTGGTTGGGAAGTCTAATCTTTGTGGTTCTTGCAGGGATCTTCAAAATCTGGCTTTCTTGGAGAAGCCTCAATTGATTTTGCTGATTTTGTCGCAGAAACTGAACCACTGACTGTTTCTCTACCCCTAAAGTTTGCCAATTCAGGTGTGGTTTTACATGTAAGTACCCTTTATCTCCTTCCTAACTTGCTTCTTGTCTCCGTCTTAAGTCTCAACAAGGCCCTTCCGCATTATTCATCTCTTAATCTTTAATATGTCTTAAGAAATTTAGCTGTATCCTTTGATACTAAAAATACTTCAACATAATTAGATTTCAAACACCATTCAATTCTTAGTTTCTCACATATGAATTGTTGAAACAGGTGACTATTCAGAATGTGGAAGGATACACTGCTGAAAGGTTAAAAATGAACCACACCACACTGATAATTTAAACATTGCAAATTTCCTGATGTTTCATTGTACTTTATTTCTTTCCAAAATGCTCTCTCAACCTTATACCTTAATTCCAGAAATGGAGAAGATAATGGAGCTGAGGGACTTTACAGTGATGGAAGCTTGAAACACCAGCTGAGCTATGGAAGTACAGATCATGAAAGTTATAATGTTGATGAAGTAAGGTCTTACAAGATATACCTTTATATTGCTAACAATTCTAATTAACAAAGTTGAAACTTTCCTAAACAGAAACTTCTAACGAGGATAAGTTATGCAAAGAAATAACTCATTTAAAAAATTATAGTTACATTAATTTTTATTATTGTCTTTCAGAATGGGCACATGGGGAAGACCAAATCTGAGTATTCAGAACAAGATGCATCTAATGGCATCAGTCCTGGGGCAGCTCCATGGGATTCTTATAGCTTCAGACAGAATTCAATGCCATCAAGAGGAACTGTTCAGCCCATTGCAACGGAAACCCAAGTGCGTAAGAGGTCAAACACAAACTGGTCAATGGGTTCAACATCAGATGGAAGTTTAGGTGACTGGACAAACAGCCTGGAAGATAATCTTCCAAGAGAAAGATTACAAGAGCCTTCGGATAATGCCACCGAAAGGCTCCAAAGTGAAATTGCTTCTTTAAAGAGGCAAGCAGAAGTATCAGAATTAGAGTTACAATCACTTCGGAAGCAGATAGAAAAAGAAAGCAGTCGAGGACAGAATTTGTCTAGACAAATAATCAGCCTCAGAGAGGAGAGAGATTTGCTCAAAACCAAATATGAGCAACTCAAGTCTCAGCAGGACTTCAATAATGAGACCAAAACCTCTAAAACCTTCAAGTATGAGATTGAAGATACTAGGCTTCAGTTAGAAGCAATAAAGGAAGAGCTTATTTATGAAAAAGAATTGAGTGCCAATCTTCAGTTGCAACTGCAGAAGACACAAAACTCAAACTCTGAACTACTTTTAGCTGTGACAGACCTTGAAGCAATGCTGGAACAAAAGAATAAGGAAATATTGGATCTGTCTACCAATATAAAATCCCAGAAGACTACTAAAGAGTTTGATGGTGGCATAGAATTTGATCTCTTGCGGCAAAAAATTGCTGACCAGAAGGATGAAATAGATAATTACTACAAGCAACGTGAAGAGCTAACTGAGCATATAAAAGAGCTCACTTTGGAGTATGATCTTCTTAAGAAGGAAAATGTGGATATCTCCTTGAGGTTAAAGCAAGATGAAGCACAACACATCATGTTACAAAATGAACATTCAGCTTCTTTAGTTACAATACAACAACTTGAATCCCAAGTGGAGAGATTAGAGGAAAAGCTAAAGATGCAGGAGGATGAATTTTCAGAATCTTTGGTCTTCATCAATGAACTTGAAAATCAAGTCAAGTCTTTGGAAAAAGAACTGAAAATACAGGCAGAGAAATTTGAAGAAGATCTCCATGCTATGCAATGCGCTAAAACTGAGCAGGAAGAATGGGCAATCCAAGCAGAAGAGGCCTTGAGAAAGACAAGACACAACAATGCTGTTGCATCTGAGCGTTTTCAGGAGGAATATAGAATGCTTTCTGTTGAAATGGCACAGAAAGTTGAGGAGAATGAAAAGATGATTACGGAAGCAGTTGCAGAAGCTGATGAATTGCGGCGCCAGAACAAACTTATAGAAGAAATGTTACATAAATGCAATCAAGAGCTCAGGCTTATTACAGATCAGAATGAATTGAAAATGCAAGAGCTCTTGAACCAAATAGATTCAAAAGCAAAAACAATAGAACAAATGTCACAAGAACTAGAAGTTAGGTCTGAACAACTTGAAGATGCACAAAGGCATGGGGATGAAAAGGATGCTGCATTTTCAAAGCAAATTCAAATGCTCAGATCTCAAATTAAGAATTTGATGGAAGAGGAGTGCACATTGTCAAAACCCAAGCTAACTAAGAACCTGACTGAGATGGTGAGGGCAAATGCAGAAATAGTCCATGAAGGACAACCAATTATTACGCCAAATGATGAGATGATACTAGGCACCCTACTGTCAGAAGTAGAAACCTTTAAGAACCAGCACAATGAAATAAAACAGAGTTTGCACAAAGAACAAGTGGAGAAAGAAAATATGAAGAAACAGATAACTCAGTTAGAAGGAGAGCTGAAGAAGAAGGAAGCAGAATTAAGTACCATGGAAAAGAAGCTCAAGAAAAACAAAGGACGAGCTGCAGTTACACACATGAATTTTACTTCAAGAGACAATGAGTGCGCAGTGCCTTCTTCTGCTAAGACACATATCAAGAAGTCAAAATCTGAAATGCCTAAGGTAATTGTTCTGATTCCATATTTAAAATAAGAGATTAAGAATATTAGGGCAGGTTAAATAGAAGTATCACTCCCTGATGGCTTGTGCACACTTCTACATTATAAAGAGAAATAAGTAGTAATGTCAGAATACATGGAGATCAGTACACAGTTTTGGAAGATGATATAATAGTTAGAATATTTTCTTCCGTATATAGTAACTTTTTATTTTGGAGTTAAATAATGTATTGCAAACCTTTGAACTAATCAGCTTTATAGTACTTCTCTCGGTGTGATTCTACTCATGCTTTTAATCTAGCAGTTTTAAGTGTTTGAAAAATATCATTACATGCTGACTACAGGTTATTTGAAAAGTACATTTACTTTAATAAATTAAAAAATCCATTATATATCAGCTTTGAATAATGATTGCAAAACAGAACCCACCTTTTTGTCTAAAAGAAGTAATAGAATCCTCTAAGTTCAACCAGACTGAGTGAGGATGGTGATAAACATAGTTAAATATGCCGTTTCTCTATACTTTCTGCATATTAGCCTTGTAAACAAAGCACTGTTCTCTGAGTATTTCTTTTATTAATCCATTTAAATTCAGTTCCCATCACACATATTTGTTGATTTTGGTGCTAAAAAATAACCCCAGATTGTTGCTATTTTTTTAACATGAAAAGGTAATGGATGCTGCAAGCACTGCTGTTAGCAAGTCTGGAGGAGGAATAATTGGCAAGTCAGCCGAGAACAAAGTTTGTCTAGCTCCTGGAAGGTAAAACCAATTCATTTATTTTCTTCTGAATCGTTAGCACTTCTGAATCTTTGTGATAGAAAATTGGTGCAGCAGATGTCAAATTTGTCAGTGTCTCACATCTCATCCAAGAACTAACTTCTATTATTTTCTGTTTCCTTATACTGACAGTGAGGTAAAAACTGGTGCTGTAAATAATCATGATGGCGAGTGCCAAACAAATGAATTGTTGAATGAAGTTGCAGTCCTAAAGGAAAGGAACAAGACTATGGAAAGTGAGTTGAAAGAAATGGAAGAAAGATATTCAGAGATTAGTCTGAAGTTTGCTGAGGTAGAAGGAGAAAGACAACAACTTGTTATGGCTCTACGCAATCTCAAGAATGGTAAGAAGAACTAGAATTCTTTGAGCGTGTTGTGTCTCAGAAAACACACTAGAGATGAAGGAGGCAGGCTATCATCATCACCAGAATGGAGGAACCAAATTTAACCAGTACTTCGCATTTCAGTTGTGACCTATATCCTGTACATGTACTAACAGTTTTACCTCATCCAAAATTTTCTGGGCCACTTGGTCCATCCAATATTCTTGTCCTATGATACATAAGTTAGCCAGGGGTAATATGCTAGAGCCTCATACAAGGTATGTAGCCAATGATTTATCATCAGTTTGGCATTTTTGGCATGCAATGTAATACATAAGACCTATGACGCTCAGAAGAAATGGTTTTGATTGAGAGTGTGAACAGAATAAAGAAAAAAACAGTATACTGAGTCCAGAAATATATAAGCAACTGTCAGGTTACCTTGGTTAGTGCTTTTCGGAAGCTACAATTAGAAGTTCCTCCTATAATGTTTAAGTTATTGAAAAACTGGTGTTTGATATCATATACAGAAAGCTTCTTTTAAAAGCAGTTTGGTTCTTGCCTTCTTGGTAAAACATTACTTGAGTACTTTAAAGTGTTGAAAAAAATCAGAAGTGTACAATTAAGTTTTTCAGTACTTTCTTTGACAGTGCCCAAACATCACTAATAACTAATTTGGCCTAAAAAAAGTAAAAACAACTGGTTAAAGTATGTTGGAGAAACCCAACAAGTGGGGACAGGGAATTTTTCCAACTTTGTTGCCATAAGTATATTCGTTTCTTCACCTTGCTTATTATCTCAATACAGTAAGTTCCAACAAACCATTACCATAATCGAATATAGAGACAACTAATCTTGAAGATTCACTCCACGGATTGTAGCCTGATGTGCTGTTTCCCTTTAAATTTTAAGATTGGCAATTTGGCATACATGATCAACATCTTCTATATTTTTAAAATGACTTCTCAAATTTACGACTATCACAACAAGCACCAACTATAAAATTAGTGGTGATAACTACCAAGAGAATAGTTATGACAGGAGTATAAAAAATTTGCTTGGTTACTAAGGACTCTGGTTTGAAAGCCAGTCATGAAATTTTGTTCAACAACGTAATATGTGAAAATACAAATTGTCAAAATTCCCCCCAGTGGTATCGTACATTCTCAGATATGTATCATATCCGTGTTTTTTGCACTATAAAATTACATTTTCTAACTGCAACGTTATTAGGAAAGTGACAAAATAACTGCCATGCACTCCTAATTAATTCTTGATCGTAACTTTATGCCTCCTGTCGGCACAAACAAAAACCAGTTTTGTTGTTGACATTTATGCATAGCCATCGAAAGAAACGATAATGTCCACAATTTTATCCAATCAACAACAGAAAAAGAACCAACTAGACACGGATTATTTACCGTACCATATCCAAAGTTGACCAATATCATAATTATTTGTGTATATCAGTGGCAAGAAATAATAAAATAGAGTACCCATGTTGAGTTTTCCTATCATTCCAAAGAGCCATAGACACTTGTGTAGTACAGTTTCATATGTGAAAAAGACAGTTTATGAATGTCGATATTCACATTTGGACCAACCATTGTCTTTACTCTGGTGGGACCCCTTTCCATATTTACGAGTCCACGTATACAAAACCACTCAACACGTGTCAAATGACAGGGACATGTCGGTTATGTCACACGTGTCTCCAGTTACGAGAAGCCACATGTGGCATAGAATGTCATGGCTTTTTTTTTTCTCTATAAAGCGTTAAGCCTTTGATCTCTGTAGTAATTGTCTATAACGAGCAAGCAGTTACTTTTCTTTCAGTTACTGTAATGGATTCAAGAGTAGTTCAAAGTCAAGTGAATGAGAACGATGAAAATTACCCTCACACTGTTGTCTCACAGCAAGGTATGAATCTCATTTATAAGTTCTATTATATTTTATGGTATGTTTGCTAATGCTCCCATAATTTTTTTTTTCCTGTAATAAATTTTTTGTTTCTTTATCTATTTTAAATTTTTGGATACAGTGACACATGGTGCAGAAGATCAACACTTTGACCCCGAGAAGAAGTCTGTTCTGAATAAGGTCAAGGCAAAGGCTAAGAAAATTAAGGACACGATTAAGAAGCATGGTCATCAGGTCCTTGATCGTGGTCATGAGTATAACAATGAAGATCAGCACACCCTTGATGATCATGACTTGGATGAGGATGAAAAAGTTGGTGAAGACCCAAAAGTTCATGAAACACCAAGTATGTTCTTTTCTGCATCATCTGCAATTAGACATGCTAGAATCTGACATGTAGTTGTTGATACTTTTATAATTTTTCTAGAATTTTTTCTTTGAAATAGAAGAATTCCAGAATATTTTTTGTTGGAAAATTGAAATCTTTAATAAGGGGAATTTAAAAAAAAAAAAAAAAGTTCTGATTTGAGTTTGATTATGTGCTTGAATGTTTTGCAGTTCATGAAAGTGAGGCTGTTAAAAATGTCACACCTACATCTGAGCAAGTCGAAAATTTAGGAAAGTCAGGAATTAATGTTAGAGGTACAACAGTTATGGGAGAAGAACCTAATCATGATCAAGTAGTTGAAGGTGGTTCTTTAACTACTGAAGTTGCTGAAAACATAGTCACCGACCCATCCAAAGCATTTTCTGTGGAAGAGAATGCAGGGCTACTTCATGACAACTTAGAGGAGCCAATAAGCATGAAGGATGATTCTAATGCTCAAGGAAGTAGACCTGAAGCATATACTCCTCCCAATTATCAAAACAAAGTCATTGACACTGATCCAAGTGGGGCAGGTATGTAGGACGATTGAGCAAAATTGTATAACTAAATTTTTTTTTTTGAATTAGACTCTGCATTATGTATTAATATGTTATATCAGTGTATTATTTAAAAGATTTGATGGTTAAATTGATAAAATTGGATTTGACTCATTTACAGTGAGGATTGGTCTAATGTTGATAGGAAATTATTAGAGTAAATATTTCCAAATTCATATATGTACATGCATTCATATTTAACTCTATACATGCATGTATTTTTCAAATTATACCTTCAATTTTGTTCATAAAAGTGTGCCATTTGATTTTTAGTGTTGGTGACTTAGTTTGAGCAAAGACCATTATCCAAAAATAGAAACCCACCAAGTAATGAAGAATGTAGAGACAAACTTGTGACACGCCTAAGAATATTTATGTACCATCGGATTAAGATTTTCATCGATGATGGCTTACAGGAAGTGATGAAATAGAAATCACTCCAGTTGATGAATCTTTTGCGAGAATGAATTTGCATGATATGCCCAAACCTACCCCAGAACCTAATGTCCAGCCAACAGTTGTTGATTCTGAATACCCTCCTGATGGAAGCCATGGTCAGCCTGTGCCACATCTATCTGCTGATCCACCGATAACATTTTCTGTGGAAGAGAAGTCAGGGCTACATGAGGACAATTTGGAGAGGCCAACAGGCTTGAAGGAAGATCCTCACTCACCAGGAAGTGGACCTGAAGCATATACTCCTCCCATTTTTCAAACCGAAGTCACTGATCCAAATGGGGCAGGTAAGTAGAACGATTGAACAGAAGTTTTATAACTCAATTTTTTGCTATGGACTCTGCATTATGCATTAATACATTATACAATTAGAGCATTATTTGAAAGATTTGAAGCTTAAATTGATACAATCCGATTTGACTCATTTCCAATGAGGAGTTAACAATGATTGGAAAATTATTGGAGTAAATATTTCCAACTTACATATTTTATTATATACGTGCTTTCATTTTATCACTGTTGTATCCAAAAGTAGAAAAATCAATTCACCATGTAATGTAGAATGAAGATAAGAAGCTTCTGACATGCCTAATGATATTATGTTTATGTACCACAAATTAAAATTTTCATCTGTGATGGCTTGCAGGAAGTGATGAAATAGAAATCACACCGGTTGAGGAATCTTTTGCCACAATGAATGTGCACGATGAGCCAAAAGATACCCAAGAACTAAACATCCAATCAACTGTTGTTGATTCTGAATACCCTTCTGCTGGAAGCCATGATGAGTTTGTACCACACTTCTCTGCTGAAACACAAACTCAGGTCCCTTCTGCTGGAAGCCATGATGAGTTTGTACCACACTTCTCTGCTGAAACACAAACTCAGGTCCCTTCTGCTGAAAGCCATGATGAGTTTGTGCCACACTTCTCTGCTGAAACACAAACTCAGGTCCCTTCTGCTGGAAGCCATGATGAGTTTGTACCACACTTCTCTGCTGAAACACAAACTCAGGTCCCTTCTGCTGAAAGCCATGATGAGTTCTCTCAGGAGAAGATATCCACAAATATCAATAGAATCGTTGAAAATCCTGGAGAAACTGAACAAACTTTCAACACCACCACAACCACAGTTGGAGAGCAACCACCCTATGAAGCAAACACTGATAAAGTTGTCTCTCCTAGAAGTGTCATAACTTCTGAGTTAGTTTCTGGAGAGAAAGGTGACATAAATGACACGATGATAACAAATGAAGAGCAACAAAAAAGTGGTGATACTTCTAACAAGTCAGGGTCCACTGCAGAATATGGAAAGAATATTGCTCAATCTCTGACAGAGAAACTAGCTCCAGTTTATGAGAAGGTTGCAGGGGTTGGAAATGCAGTGAAGTCCAAAGTGACTGGAACAAGCACTGGTGGTGTTGGAAATGAAGCAAAAAATGGGGTTAAAGAACAAGACAAAGGAGTATCTGTGAAGGAATATTTGGCTGAGAAGCTAAAACCTGGTGAAGAAGACAAGGCACTTTCTGAGGTAATTTCTGAAGCTTTACATAATCCGAAAGAAGAGGCAATGAAAAAAGAGCATGAACACTTGGGTAGTGGAAATGACAAGTCAGATAAAGTCTCTGAAGAGAGCTCTGTGAACAGTCAAGGAAAAGGTGTGGTTGGCAAGCTTAAGGGTGTTGTTGGCTCTTGGTTTGGCAAATCGGAGAACCAGTCATCTCAAGGTAAAATGCCTTCATGAGTTTTTTTTTCGCTAGCAGATTTTGCAAATTGTTATGTTATATATAATACTGATTTTGAAGTTGCTGTTGTTATAGTTGCAGGTGAAGGTGTATCAAATAGTACAAATTATGGTGCAGAAGTGGAACAGGTTAAGGTTAACCAAGTTGTAGATGAAAACAGTAGTCGAATTGAAGAACAAGGGACTCGCTAAATTTCTGTGCGGACATTGAATAATACATGTGTGTAGTGCTCTCCTTACCTGTAATTAGATATTTGTATATGTTGTATTCATGTGAAAGTTATAATGTTTGTGTAGATGTGGAATTTACAATATGATATTGTTGTATAGGAACACAGAATAATACTGTGTCCTTATTATTAGGTTACGTGAAAAAAACTGTCAATATATAGTTTTATTGTATTATGTCTTTTTATTTTTACTTAATAGCTCAATTCAATGTCCGATATGGTAATGCATATTTTTATGTTTCTTTTCCACTTTTGGGTGAGCTCATAAACTTTGTATTTTTTTTCTAAATGATGCCTTTATAGTTATCGTTAATTCTTCTAACCTGTTTCATGTCATATTTGTTTAAACAAACCAGAAAGAAACTCAATCCATTGTATTTATGTTTGAAATCACAGTTCTCTAATGGTTGGTTATAGAAGATTGTAACTACAAAAATACAATTTATAAGTTATAAAAAATATTATTAGAACAAATTTATGGCATATAAAAACTGTTGGATTTAGCTGTACCCACATGCCATTTGATTCTGGACTGCAAATGATCTAAATTCTTACCTTTGAGATGAAGTGCGTGTTTAGTACTTTTTAGCCTATTTACATTTTGAATGAAAGTTAGTAGGTGTTTTTATTAAAAAGGGGGGGGGGGTTGAAAGTAAATTTTTTTTTATTTATCTATAATGACTTTAGAGAATGAAAAACTTCATTTTATAATCAGTTCCACTCTTATGACTCCTAGCAAAGAAACCAGGAGACTCAAACATACAATCAAATTTGAATTTTTATTAAATTTATGTTATGAACTTAAGTGTTTGTACTTTTCAAGAAGATATTTTTCCGATAATTCTCATAAAGGCGTCACAAAATCGTAAAATATTTTTAAATCAATTATTGCTTAGGTTATAAATTAAAAATTAAAACTACTTAAATTAAAATTATTTTTTCCATTTGTTTGGAAACTTCTTAATATAAAATGGAAAAGCAAATCCCAACGAAGTAGCCCAGTTCTCTTCGTAATGGTTAGAATTTGAGCCCAACATGAATCGACAGTGGTTTAAGGCCCAAAACCAAAATAGAATTTGAAAAATAAACGTTAATGAAACGATGCGTTAATAGTGTTGCATCATCTTCCTTTTCCTTGCTCCACCGGGTTAGGGTTTTGCAGAGTGACCCATGTTGTTTTCTTCACAATCACAATTCATAGTTGAGTCACACCTCACTCAATGAATTGGGGCTCCATGTGATGCCATTTCTCGACGAGCACAACAATTTTTCGACTAATACTCCAAAATATCGTCCCACACGGTGGACTATTTTGCTTCGTCATGTTTTTCTCGCTTCTCTTCTAGACTTAATCCGTTTCGCGAACTTGGATCGCTGATTCGATGGGTGTCCATGATCTCGCTAGCACAGTGGGGTTCTGGAAGCTTCCACTACAAGGAAGCACTGTTCTACCTTTGGCCAAATCGTGGTTGTTGCGCATTTCAGAGTTTCAGAGATGACGGCTTCGAATTCGAACCATGAATTCAATAACCCTTTTAGCTCCAAGGATGGTCCACAAGTTTTCCCATTGTTTGGTTATTTCGCGGAAATTATGTAACCATCCGTTTGATGGTGATCGGTTTGAATGTGTTGAGGAGCCTTTAAAAGAACTAGGTTCTGATCATGATTCCACTGTGGATGAAAGGATCCATTTGAATGAGGATTGGAGCTGTAACCCAAAGCAGTTTTCACTTAGAAAAGGGTTCTTAGAAACTGTTAGGTTAGATGCTAAGAGGGTCCTTGGGGTTCTTCGGCAAGACAGTCCTGGCCTTGATGCCAGGTTGGTTTTAGATGAGTTGCATATAAGGCCATCAGGGCTTCTTGTGAGAGAGGTTCTCTTTGGAATTTTGAAGAAAATAGGTTGTGAAAATAAGACTAGGTGTGCAAAGCTGGCATACAAGTTTTTTGTGTGGTGTAGTCAGCGAGAGGGTTACCGCCACACTGCGAATGCCTTTCACATAGTTATGAACATATATGCTGAGTGTGAGGAGTTTAAGGCAATGTGGAGGTTGGTTGATGAGATGATTGAGAAAGGGATTCCTGTCACTGCTCGTACTTTCAATATTTTGATTCGTACTTGTGGTGAGGCAGGCTTGGCTAAGAAATTGGTGGAGAGGTTCATAAAATCGAAGACCTTCAACTATAGGCCTTTTAAGCACACCTATAATGCTATTCTGCATGGTCTTCTTGTTTTAAACCAGTACAAGTTGATTGAATGGGTTTATCAACAGATGTCGCTTGATGGCTTTTCTTGTGATATTTTAACTTATAATATTGTTATGTATGCCAAGTATAGACTTGGAAAGTTGGATCAGTTCCACAGACTGCTTGATGAGATGGGTAGAAATGGATTTTCTCCAGATTTTCATACCTTCAATATTCTTCTTCATGTTCTTGGCAGAGGGGACAAACCGCTTGCAGCTCTTAATCTTTTAAATCACATGAGAGAAATGGGTATAGAGCCAACTGTGCTTCATTTCACCACATTGATAGATGGACTCAGTAGAGCTGGAAATCTGGATGCGTGCAAATATTTTTTTGATGAAATGATAAAGAATGGATGTATACCAGATGTGGTGGCTTACACTGTAATGATAACAGGATATGTAGTGGCCGGTGAGCTTGAGAAAGCACTGGCAATGTATCACGAGATGATTTCCAGAGAGCAAATTCCAAATGTTTTTACATACAATTCCATAATACGGGGATTATGTATGGCAGGAAAATTTGATGAAGCGTGCTCAATGCTCAAGGAAATGGAGACCAAAGGTTGTAGTCCAAACTCTGTTGTCTATGATACATTGGTGAGTAGTTTGCGTAATGCTGGAAAGAGTGCTAATGCTCATGAAGTGATAAGACAGATGACAGAGAAGGGGAAGTATGCCCACATACTTTCAAGATTCAAAGGGTATAAGACATAGTCGTAAGTTAAATTTTCATATTGGAAATGTTAACTCACGAGGCATCAACTTTTGATCTGGTGAACTGAGAGTCTCGGACCAATTTCCTGCTGCTTGTTCAGCTGATTAAAAGCTGGAGTATTAAAGTATGTGGTCCACCCTCCCCCTTCCCCTGATATATATTCCTTTTTTTTCCCCTTATTTCTACACTCAGTAACTGACATGTAAATCTGTATGCCCATATTTTTCATTATATATGATCAATATTTCTTGTCCTTTTATTTTAGGCTATGCTTCTTTTAATTCCTATGTGCCTTCATCTGTCAAAGAGCTTATTTTATCAAGACTAAGGTGCGTAAATTGACTTTATTTCTTGACCATGTAAACATTATGTACTTTTGGTGGTAACTATTGCCATTTGGGCGTAAGCAAATTAAACTATAACTGGAGTTATGTGAATTAATTTTTTGGCTTGTGCTATAACTATTTATCTTATAAGTGTATCTAGGATTTATAACCTGGATGATTGACAATCAATTAATTAACTTGGTACACTAGTTGTTTTTCAGCTTTTCGAACTAATAGATGAACCCCAGTTGCTCTGAAAAAAAGAAAGTAGTAGTGCATTAGATTTTAAATCCATCTTCCTGATAGTTTGAATTCACTGCCCATAAAGTCGGTGGCATTCTGTTGAGCTTAGAGTGTTGTTTATATAGTTTTTAGTGTGACCTTTGTTCTCATCCCCATCTTTTGATAATTGAAGTGAAATTGATGTCTTGCATTCATGATTTTGAGATTAAATTTATAATTAAAATCTCCTTTTAATTTTTAAGTTGAAAGACAGTACCCTGGTTCATTGGTGCATTTCCACAAATCCTGAGAAAGTAATAGCAGCTTAAAATATTGCCAAGAGCCAAAGATGTGGTAATTTATCATGTTGCTTTCCGCATACATTCCTAAGTTGGTTGCTTTTCTGTGGCTTCAGAGACTGCCATTGGTCTGCTGCCCCTTTCCAGATGAAGGTTGAAAAGCATATTCCCTTTTACTGTCAGGTTATTGTTATGGTTCATTTGTTGGCTTGATATTCTGTACTGTGTTCATACATGATAGATTGATAGGCATCTTCTGTCATTGTGCAGAGTGGGGGCTCCAAGTTCAAACAATTAGGATGCTATGCAATATGCGGTATTCACCTTGTATGAGATTGTTTTTGGCAGATGCGTAGGCTGTGTTGGGCGCATCGAAGTTTATTGTAAATGACAACTCTTCTTGGCCTAAAAAATACCATCAGATATAACCAAATAGCATTGAAGATGAATTACACATTTGATTCTCTTTTCGAATGCCACTTTCTCATGTGGTAATTCATGCTGCTTTCATTTTTTACAACTAATGTTGTGCATCGATTTCCATCTTATTTGTCTTTACAAAATAATCTTAGGTAGGAACCACAAATACCTGATTCAATTTTTTTTTTTTAAGGTTTCCACCTCTTTAATTTCGTGTACGCAGATTTTTTAACTCAAACCCCTAAGGCTCTTTTTTCATATTTTGTTTTTCCTTTGTAACAATTATTTGGTTTGCTTTTGAAACTGCTCTCATAAAAATTATAATTTTGTTCTTGCAATTAACGTTATGCAGGACAGTTCAGCCCCATAAGGGTTTAGGTACTTCAATTTCTGCTCATGTGATTGGCAACTAAGAATCCTGAGTGCAGTTTGTACACATTCATCATCCAAGTCCAGGGGCTCGTGTATCTTCCTGTAATGAACATGTGATTGGTTTTATACGTGTACTTTTATAATTGATTGAAATGGTTTTATACCTACACGTACAATCAAATTACAATAGCCTAATAGGGCAATTGATCAATGCAAATATTTTTGGGTTCACAGATCCCCTTGGGCTCGGGCCTAGGGAAGGCCTTAACAGTCACCACGTATATGGTGCCCAGGGGCCCGGGGCCCATGGAGGAAGAGAACTGAAAATGAATTTTCATTTAAGGGTGTTGAACTCCTACTGCGAAGCAAGAACACTTGAAACTTCGATCTTATTTTTCTCATCCAAGTAATCAGAGAAATTTTATCAAGTATATGACTTACCTGGAAACAAGAACACAGAAAAACACAACCCTTGAGCATATAGATATACTTGGCCTGGTCAACTGGAATTTCTCCTTAAAATTGTATATTATAAGTGGCCACAGCAACATTCTCCTGAAGCCATATTGAACAATAAATAAATGAACCTAATCTTGGGATCAAGATTACTCAGCTGATTGAACTTTTCTTGAAAGTTGCATATATCACAAGTTGCAATATGAAAGACGTAAATCATCAACATATCAGGGTAGTCCAAGTGACTGTCTTTCTATTAAGCATTTCATCATATACTGTAGAAGAAAAACTTCTTTCATATGCTGTAATATGGGGCTAGGCTTGGATGTGCGTGCGCTTATGTTGATAAAGGGGAGGTGAAGCTCCTTTCATAGCATTTCAACAGATTTCCTTGCAACAGTCATTCTAAGTTAATTGTTGACAAATATTAAGCTTCTAAAAGACATCCAATCATGGGGTGGAATTTACTGAGCCCCAGAGAAAATGTATCTATTATTTTACATATCCATTTTTCTTTTCGAACTTATACTTCTCTTGATATCTTTTATTTAATTCCTTGAATATTGTTGAGCTTCTCCTGTAGTTGTTTAACTAGTTTCCAAATATGTCAGGCCATTTTTGGGGCTCTCCCTGTTTATTCACATGTTGAGCATAGTGTAAATATAAATACAATTTATTGAGGTGGCACTATGCTTTCAGATGCAGAGGACATACAAAAATATTGAAAAAGTCGCGAGCTTTTTCTTAGTTGAAGTAATTTTGTCCTAACAGGAGAAATTAGTAACTGGCTAAATGCTTTCAGACTCAGGCTTGAACAGTCATAAACTTAGTAGACTTTCGTGTCATTGTTGTCATGTACCGCCAAACCCAACCAAATGATTCAGCAAATGATTAACGAAAATGAATCTTGTGTATTTGAGTTATCTCGCTCTCAGAAGAATGATTAGAAAACCGTTTTTGTCTTCACTCATTTTTTAATCGGAGGATGAACTTCCTATACCCTTTCGGACTTTGCTTCCATTCAGTTGATAGAAAATGACCCACAATGCATGGCAAAGAAGTTTCGCTGTGCCATTTTTTTTTTTTTTTACCTTCTCCACACTCTTGGTACACATTACAAGCATGAACAAAAGACAGACATTATCATACTCCACAGTCATTTGCACCATGAAAATTTTTCATTATTCTTAAATTATATGAACAATTTTGCAGCTTAACATCTACATAGGAAATATGAAAAAAGAAGGGAGAAGAATTTGAAAAATTGGATGATATGTATTTTCTTTAGTTTTTCTCATCCGGTTTCCCTTCTTGTTTCTCTTCCTTCTTTTCCTCTTTTTTTTCTTCTTTCTTCTCTTCCTTGGCAGGTCCAACTGATACTATATCTACCTTCCCTACTTTCTTCAGCTTCTTCACTACTGCCACTGTATCCATTTGACCAATCACTGTTAACTTCTGTTCCTTCACATCTGCAGCAATCGAATCAACCCCTGTTGTTCAAAGTACCAACAGTTACTGGGTGGATCCATAATGGTATTCTATTAACATGCAAGGCAAAAAAAAAAAAAGGTTTTCTATGAACAAGAAATACGGTTTCTATGACAGAAAGAAAATGAAATTATAAATAAACACCAACCAAAGATATCTGCAGCTGCTTCTATTGCTTTCTTCTTTGTTTTGTCATCTACCATAGTAAGGACCTTTAACACTACTTTCTGCTATGGATCCAGTGAGGGGCAGCACATGCAGACAGAGACACAAGAGGATAGAGAAAATGAAAAACAAAATTTGAATAAAATAATTTTAAATTAAATCATGGATATAAATATAATCAAATTAGCTTGAACATATGCATATGGAATGGAAACAGAGACAGAAAAAAATGCAGAATAATCAACATGAAAATCAGTACCTGAGCCATTTTGAGTTGATAGATGGATGTGAAAACTAAGGAGAGGAGAATGAAGGGTTGAGAACTTTTGGCCTTTGTAATATAAGGTATGGCGTGCGGTTGTAGATTTCTTCTTTTATTTGTGGGCGTGTCTGTGTGTGTTACATCCAAAAGATGGACACTTAAAATGCAAATTTCTGGCCAGCATGGCACAACTCAATAGCACACATAGGACAAATGTTGACATGGTTATGGTTTGTTACTTGCCATTTGATTTGATTTTCTTTACTTTTTTCTCTCACTTGTTATATTTTCCTACCTAAGAAAATAAAATTGGATCACGTCAGGGGATAGCTTAATTAATACTATGTTAAAAGACCATATAAGTGAAATGGAAAGTTGAAGAAAATAATTGTTTTATGCGTTAGATTTTGGTTAATTAGTTGTCATCCAAAACAAGCATATGCAGATGTTATAAGATAAATTGTGATATTCAAATTAAGTGTTTTTTTTAATACCAATGCCAATGAGGCACCAACCCAAAGTTTCCTCATCAGGACAAATAATTATAGTTAGAAAAACTAACATGAAGAAAAGCATGTCACTTTGCAGCAGACATCCAAATGGCTTACATGTGTAACACTATTCCATGATTGTCTATTCTACAGAATGCATTCACCGGACTATTTTATTTTGTCATTACAGAACCTTTGAAAATGAAATAAGGTACAATCGAAGTCCATTAGACCTTAATTAAATGGGTAAGTCTCCTCTATAATGAACTTGTGTGTACAATGCATACGTAAAAATGTCTTTAGAATTAATTTAATTTAAAGAACATGGTGAAGTTAAACTTACTAAAATTCAAAGATGAATATGTTATTACCTGAACATTTATAAATAAGCTTACTATATATATATATATATATATATATATATATATATATATAAGATTTTGACATAAACAAAGAGGATTGTGGATAAAAAAGAATGGAACTTTTTCTCATAATGTTAATGGATGATTCTTAGGATACTTGTTAGGAAAACAAAAATAAAAAATATTTATTATATAAAAAACATAAAAATTATTTAATATTTATCCTCTAAAGTAATTAAAAAAATTAGTGGAATATATGAAATGTTTCTTTATCCCATCCTTTGGAACTCATTTATAAAATTCTAAATTATGTATAACGGCAGAGATTCATCTCTTTTCTACCAAACACACTATTCATTGTACTAAACGACAAACATTTAGAATTTCCAAATAAAAATACATGTATTCCACTTATTAAGAATTTGGTTGTAAGTTAAAAAAAATGACAGATTAAGATGATAAAGCCATTTCAAACTTGTAAGCAGAGAGAATTCCAATTGAACTACAAGCTGTAAGCTATGCATGGAGAATGGAAAGTCTGAAAGATCATAGTGGGATTCAAATTCAATGGTTGTCGGCAAGGTCAACCGTTGGAAAGGACTATTTCCCCTTTCAAATATCTTATCCGTTAAAAGAATATGTTGAAATATAAGCTTCTTTCCACCCTACTTGCAATGTAACAGTAGATCTTGCTACACAACATTATTAACTGTAAGGAATGCTTTGAATATCTCCACTTATGTTGTCAGAAGTTGGAGAATGATTATATATATATAACAAAGTCTACGATACATAATGTAAGAAAAACAGCATAATTTACTGAAAAAAAAAATTGATTTTTAAAGTTCTTATTTAAAAGTGAGTACTCAATTTTAATAAATGCATAGGTGTTCGTGAGTTGTTTTTTAACTTCCATTTCTTAGTGTTTCTTGGGAAAAATCGATTTTACGAATACTACTGTTACGAGGCATACTTTAGAAATTTAAGTATTAAACGTAAAATTTCACATTAATTGTGATTGAGTTAAAAAAAAAGAAGGGAAAATATAGGTTTTATATTGGTCAACTAAAAAGAAGAAGAAAATATAACTGAAAATTGAAAAGAGTATTCACAACTGTTATGGGATTTAGGGGTTATTTTGCAATTGTTTTATCCTGGCCACACACTTGTTGGAAAGGTTATTTATATTCATTTTCTTGTAGCCGTAGATTTGTTTGAAAGGTTGGGTAATTGCTATTGTATTATTTTTTTTTTTGAAAATGTGTGTAATATTTTTAAAAATTAATTTTGAAAGTCGTTTATAAATTATTTTTGAAATTTAATTCTTAAACATAATTCTATACATTTTAAAAATTAAATTTTGAAAGAATAAAAAAAATTAAAAGTGGTGTCATTAATAAAAATAGGTGGTAAAAAAAACAACTGAAGGTTGGATCAGTGGAATCAGATCAATCCACCTCGCATGACCCATGCAAACAATGAAGATACTGTAATTTCAAATAATTTATTGAACCAAATACGAGAACAAACAATTGGAAGTTACCACAAAATAAAATACATTAATGAATTTGCAGCAATTCTTATCTCTCTATAAAGACTACAATATACACATTTTTTTCACGTGTAAGTCAAAATGAATAATTAAAAGTAATTATTAGTTTCATAATTTTGTCTACGAAGTATTCTGTTCAAAGACCAAAAGCAGTGACACATACAAACAGAAAGAACCTTATACAGAGAAAGTTAAGCGACAGAGGAAGCACATCTTGGCCCTGCTGGCAGGGTTGAAGAAAACCCCGTTAACCCATTCATATATATCGTAAATAAATAAATTTAAAATAAAAGATATAAATTAATATATTAACATAAATTTAATATATTAATAATATATTTATTATTATAAATAATATATAATTATTTTAATTTAAAATTAAAAAATATATTTTTTCTTTCCTTCTCTTCCAAAAATTCCGTCTCAACATAGCCTTAGAAAATTGAGAAAGGTAACATTGACTAAATGTTATATCAAAATCCCAAGCCAAGGACACGTGTTGGATTACACTAACATTAATTTAGATGTAACATCAACACTAGTTAGTTGTATTCTAAGTTTTTGTCGTGAGTGGGAAATGCCACTGTTCCCACACAACGGCTTTTTCATTTGCCTACTCTCCACAAACCAAACTTTTTTTCTCCCTCCCTCCTCTTCTTAAATTTCTTTGGTTCTCATATGGAACCTTATTCCCAATCATCAACACATTTTATTTTCTTTGGTTCTGATTGTATTGTTTTCTCTCCACTATTCAGTCATCTTAATCCCTGGATGGAGTAGATTCACCCTTTTAATCTTTCTATACGGGTTTCAGGAGAATGTGGTGGAAACTTGATTTCTATGCTCTAAAATGCAATTTTAAGGAGAAATTCTAGTTGACCTCACAAGGCCTTGTATTTATATCGGATACTCAAGGGTAGTGTTTTTCTTATCGAAATTCTTATTTCAATGTAGTCATATATTTGATAAAATTTCTAAATTTATGAACATGTAATTAATATAACAAATTACAAAGTAGTAAACATCCGGTTGAAGTGTCATCCAATGTGATAGTTTCTTTTGGAAAATAAACTCATTTGTTGTCTTTGTACTTCTGCTTATTTAATTGAAAACACTATTTTCTTGACAACTTTGAGAATTTGGAAAACAAGACATGTCATAGCTGTTTAATGCATAATGCTACTTGTGAATTTATAACCTGCAGTTAATTTATTGTGCTACATGAATGAGGATGAACATTCATCTTGAATGAGCAGGTTACTTTTTTGGTTTCAACTTTGCATGCTGAAGCAGTGCATCACAATTCAGATCAATATGAGTGCCAAATCTTTTCTAGTTACTCCAGTTGTTTATGTATTCACATTTTTCACTCTTCTGTGCATCACATACTGAAGAATCATGCTTTTAGGACTCTTACAATATGGTGGTTGGCGTATCTAAAGGTCCTGAGAAGAAAATGAAGCTGGTTAGTATTGGGTATATCAGAAGGACAAGACTTGGTGATGAATCTTGGGTTATCTTCCTGTTAGGATCAGTCCCTGATGGCCTCAAACTGCATGTGGAATAAAATCATAGTTAGTGGATGACATTGGCTATTTTGCTGCTTAGATTAGGAGATGGGGAACCCCTGAGCCAAACAGGGGTAAGGGTGTCAAATATGCTGATGAAGTTTTTAGAAGAAAGGGAAGGAGTAAATGGAGTTTCATTTCTTCTCTTCATTTATCTTCTGTTTTAGGCTCATTGGCATGAGCTAAAAATGTAAATAAATTCATATTTATTACGATTAGCTTGATTAGAATCCATGGTTCCTTTAGTATTCATGATTTGAAAGCATGGCAAAAGCAGGCTGCATTGACTCATTGTTATGTGAGTATGATTATCAATGCTAATGGGTACACTCGTGAAACTCAGTACATGGCCAAAGATGAAAGGAAAATGCATTTTGTCTTCCTTGAAACATAGAGTTCTCTCAACCTCCTGCCAATGTTTCACTCGGCCCCTTAAAGCTTGGTTTTAAATGAAAGTTTTAAGAAATTCAAATTCAACTGAGGCTAACCTCAAGACTAATTTTACTTGGTTTGTTGACTTAAACCAAACTTAAGGAAATTATTATGTATTAAAATAAAGTCTTCTTTGTAGTAGTAATGTCATCAGATGTTCTTGTGTATGCTCCATTTGATTAAACTAGAAAAGTAATATTTTCATTTAAAATGTAATTTCAGGATAAAATAAATTACTTTAGGATTGAGCTACAAAAATGGGTATACATTTTTGGAGGTAAAAATTATTTTACTGAAAAAAAGGCTCAAACAGTCGTTTTGCCTTTCCAGGTTCGATAAATTAACCCTTCAAGAAAGATTAGTAGGCTGAATAGGTGTAGTGCAATCGTCTTGTACTGACTTCTAATAAAGTGTGAAGGAGTGTGAAATAATATGGTTTTTCACTGTAATAACTGTATTTTTTTCAATGCTAATCACTGGTAATATAATGCAAGGGCATGGAGGATTTCTCCAAGCTTCTATTTGAAGAGAGTAAAAGGTTTAACTAGAGTCTATCTATTGGTCTAATGCAATCAATCAGAGCAAGTTGTATATTACAAAAGCCAAACAACATACTATCTGTTCGTTAAAAGGAATGGATATCTTGTTCGTTAAAAGAATATGTTGAAATATAAGCTTCTTTCCACCCTACTTGCAATGTATACAGTAG